ATAATCGGCCTTGAAACAAAACCTCCCCGACAAACGTCAACTCATGTAGTTTGGTCCCTTGGTAAATCAACGTCGTAGAGCTGTGCAAGTGTAAACTATCAAAGAGGATAAAACGTCAACACATAGCCATGCTGCCACTGTTCACCTCGCATCGCTTCCTCTTTATTGTCCGTATCTGTCCTGTCTCTTTTGCACTGGTAAGAGAGAAGAGAGAAAAAAAAAGAATTAAAAAAATAAAATAAAAACAAACAGAGCAAACCAACCACCGTGGGGGTCCCGCAATAGTTGGCAAGATAGAGCAACACTTGGGGCCGGCTAGCGTCCACGCCCACAAAGGTTCCGTGTTGGCGAAATCGTGCTCACCTCTCTCTTGTTTGCATCTTTTTTTTGTCTTTCTTCTTCCCTTCTTCACTCCTTGCCGTGTTTTTCTCGTCTCAGCAACTGTCTTTCGCCTCCTACACAAGACGACGCTCTCGTGTTCTTCTCTGCCATGGCGAGAAACACCACGGCGTCGCGCGCAGACGACCCAGAGTCTGTTGCTGTAGCCCGCGCCGACAACAACACCGAGCAAACGCCGCTATTGCGCTCAGCCTCGCCCAACCACGCACCTCTGCATGACACCACCACCACCACCACCACCACCACTGCCCACCGCCGTCATGACGCCGGCGCCGACGAGGAGCACACCGTCATCGCCGAGGAAATCTCGACCTTGCGGCTCTTCCTCGTCATGGGTTCCGCCTGGGTTGGCGTCTTCCTCGGCGCCGTCGACTCCACCATCATCGCTACTCTCTCCGGCCCCATCTCGAGCGAGTTCCAGTCCCTGAGTCTGCTGTCCTGGCTGGCTTCTGCCTACTTCATCGCCAATGCCGCCTGCCAGCCCATCTCCGGCCGCCTCACCGACATCTTTGGCCGCGGGCCTGGTCTCGTCGTCAGCAACGTCTTCTTCGCCGCCGGCAACCTCATCTGCGGGCTCGCGCGCGACCAGACCACCATGATTGCCGGCCGCGTCATCGCCGGCGTCGGCGGCGGCGGGCTCATGAGCATCTCCACCTTTCTCGCCTCCGACCTCGTCCCGCTGCGCCGCCGCGGCATCGTCCAAGGGCTCGGCAACCTGGCCTATGGGTCCGGTGCCATGCTCGGCGGCATCTTTGGCGGTCTGATCAATGACCACGCCAACATGGGCTGGCGCCTCGCTTTCCTCGTCCAGGTCCCGCCTGTCATCGTCTCCGGCCTTGTCGTTTACTTCATGGTTGACGTGCCGCCCAAACAGAGCGATAAGACGTTGCTGTCGCGCATAGATTTTGGCGGCGTACTGCTGACCGTCTCGTTTCTTGTGCTGATGCTGCTAGGGCTCAACGCCGGCGGGAACCTGGTCCCCTGGACGCACCCGCTGCCCCTTGTCACCATCCCACTTTCGCTCGCTCTCTTTGGTGTCTTCCTGTGGTGGGAGAGCGCGGCGCGGCAGCCCGTCATCCCCGTGCGCCTACTCGCCGACCGCACCGTGCTCGCCGCGTGCTGCACCAATTTCCTCGTCACCATGCTCATCATGACGGGACTCTTCTATGGGCCGCTGTTTCTGCAGATCCTCGGCAGCACCGTCACCACTGCCGGCCTGCAGCTGCTGCCCTCGTCCGTCGGCGCTTCCCTAGGCTCAGTCACGTCCGGGCTCGTCATGAAGCATACCGGCCGCTACTGGACCATGGGCGTCGCCTGTACCCTCACCGTGACTGCCGGCACTGTGCTCTTTGTCCTGCTCGATGCTACCACCCCCATCTGGGTTGCCAGCGTCAGTTTCTTCCTCTCGGGTTGCGGCTACGGCGCCATGCTGACCGTCACCCTGCTCGCCGCCATCGCCGCCGTTGACCACGCCCACCAGGCCGTCGTCACCAGCGGCACCTACATGGCGCGCAGTATCGGCGCGACCCTCGGCGTCACCGTCGGCTCCGCTGTCTACCAAAATGTCCTGCAGGCCAGGCTGTGGGACCGCTTCGGCGACCGGCCCGGCGCGGCTGACGAGATTCGCCGCATCAGGGAGAGCCTAGATGAGCTCAAGCACCTGCCGCCGGGCTGGTACGATGGTGTAATCCAGTCCTTTGTCGACGCATTTCACAGCGTGGCGCTGACGATGCTCGGTTTGGCGCTGGTGGCGACAGTGACAATTGCGCTGATGCGAGAGCATAAGCTCCATAACAACCTGTCGAGAAATTGAAACTGAGGTCGCGGAAAGAGACAAATTGGTGCATTGGTAGAGCATTCACTGCCCTCTCTTTAGCGGCTCGAACTTCTTTGTCTCTTCCGAAAAGGAGAATACCCTTTCGCACATGAGGCACTCTTCCACTGTCGACCTATGTCATCGTTTAGACTGTACATAGTTCATTGCATGCCATACAGGCATACTATTATCATGACTCAAACAGGAACCAAAAGTTGATCATGTGCGTAACTATTACTCAATGCCGTAAAGAGATCAGCAAGCATAATCACCACTTATTCCCAGCGTTGGCGCAGTCTGCCTGGAGCGGCGGCGCAGGGCCTGCGGCTTTTCCATATTTAGAACCGGCGGCTGCCTGGTCAGGTATAGTGCTCACCAACTTCGTCATCGGCGCGCATTACTTTCCGCCTTGTTATTTCAAACAATTATACCTTTTATACAGCTCATTGCGGTTTTCTTTTCAGTCAATTGCTTTTTTGCATTTCGGACTGACGGAAATCATCATCGCTCCTTTAGTTCGCTTCACCCCAACACACACGCACACACAAATTCACAATGAAGCTTGCCACAGCCGCCATGGCGCTCTTGGCGCAGACGGCTCTGTGCGACCGCGTTTTGCACGCCAGAGAAGCCAAGGTTACACCGCACCCGCTGCTGCCGTGTTGTTGGCGGGCCGCCAGGCGCAAAAGGACGAGTGCAGAGAGGGCAAGACGGCGTGCGGCGATGGCAATGGGTGCTGCCCGCGGGGAGCCCAATGCACGCAAAGCAAGGGCGTGGGCGTGTGCGCCGACGCTTGCGAGGGTGCGACGCTGTTTTGCAATTTTGGCGGAGGCGTGACGCTGTGCTGCCAGCCGGGCGCGTCCTGCGACTACGCGCGGAGCGTGTGCACGCAGCAGAAGAGGGATGCGGGCGGCGTGTGGACGGCGGCGTCCACAACGACGTCGGAGGAGGGGACGCGACTACCGACGGCGCCGGCGTTTTGCAGTACGGAGGATGTGTCCTCTACAGGAGCGGCGGCGACGACAACACGGCAGACGAGTAGTCAGTCGAGCTCGGAAGCGGCTAGCGCGTCGGGGTCCGCCACGAGCACATCGGGCGGCGGCGGCGGCGGCGTTGGCGTGACGCCGACAAAGAGCCCAAAGGACAGCGGCAGCGCGGTCGTGGCGAGCTGGAGTGCGGGCGTGCTTGCGGTGGTTTTCGGCATCATGGTGGCGCTATCGATGGGCGCGCGTGAGGTAGGCGAGGTCGATGCACAATGGGAGAGGCGACGAACGGGCATGCTGGTAAGAGGCACTGCTGGGATTTATGATACCCGTAGATAGCGAGACTTGGAAAGGGGGCAATGGGCTTCACTGTATTTAAAGCCGCCATTGGATTACATAAATGAATTGACGGGCGGCTATTGATCATATGGCGAAAGATGCATCTTGCCGGACTTGCACGCATATCCAGGCAATAGATGCAAGACATGCAGATGCCCGTTTGGCAGGCAAGAAAATGCCAAAGCCAATCGCAGAGCTGGCTTGGAAAGCAACGAGGCAAGTAAGGCGCAGCAGCAGTGGCTGAGTATAGTGGAGTGGTGGGGTTAAGCGGCAACAGCACTGCGACAGCATGTCGTCACCCATTGTGAGAGTACGTAACGAGCAACGTGCTGTTCTGCCAAGGTTCTGGATCAGATGTACGTTGAAAAACAACCAGAGAAATTGTAAAGATTCTTTTGGTTATTGGAGAAGAAGTCGAAATTATTTTCTTTTCAAGTTGTTTTCTAGTTGCGCACAACGAATGACAGGGAGAGTATTTCAGCGCGTCAGCAACACCCACCAAAAAAACCTCGGGGCTGTCACTTGTGGAACCTGGTGGCCGCGGCAACGTCTTTTTTTGGTCCCCTTTTAAACTTTTAAAACCCTTTGTTGCCTTTTTTTATAGCGACCTCAGGGCCTGGCCAAGCCAAAAGGGAGGGTCCGCCTTGTCGCACAGCCAACTGAACAGCCTGGCTGACGCGCAACAACTCCAAGGCTTCTCTTTTCCCTGTCTGCCCTGCTTTATCTTCTTTTTCTTCTCCTCCTCTCCTCCTCTCCGTATCCCTGTCTTTTATCTTCTTGTTGATTCCTCGTCCCACCGGAGATTTATCTCTTTTCTTCTTCTTGCTGTCGCTCATCTTTCTTCCTGGCACCACCGCTTGTATATTCTTATTATTATTATCATTCCGCGAATATCTTTCGTTAGCGGCTTCAAGACAAAGGCGCCACCATTCCAGAGCCGACTCCTACCACTCTTCCCCTCGATTAGCGCCGATCCAGAACGAACACCTATATTCCCAGCAAGAAAAGCAAAAGGAGTAATCGTCAAGGATCGCGCAAAAAATCCTCCAACTCTGTCGACATTGTTTTGTTTACTCGCCTTAGACCCTGGGGGACGCTACGCTTCATCAAGAACTCTATCGCCCACCCTCCAGTGTTGACACATCCACCAGCCTGTCGCACCTCGCAGTACCACCACCACCACCATGATTGAGTTTGATCCTGATCGCGTCCCGCCCATCAAGCTCGGCCTCCACATCGCCCAAATTGTCCTGGCATTTGTGCTCTGGGTGCTGGAGATTGTCGTCTTCACCGGCAAGGGCTCCAAGGTTGTTGGCAACAATGGCTGGACGTTTGCCGCCGTAAGCAATGCACAACCTTCAAGCTCAGCAGGAACGACTTGACTGACCGCCGCGGCCAACAGTTCTTCATATCTATTCCCATATGGCTATTTCTCATTATGACGCCTCGGTTCGAGCGCACGCGACGTTTCGCCAACGTGCACGCCATGTTTGCCGTCGACATCTTTGGCATCATCCTCTGGCTCTCTGCCTTTGCGACTCAGGCCGCTTATAACTCGTCTGGCCTCTGCGGTAACCGATGCGGTATCAGCAAGGGCGTTGTAGCCATTGGCGTCATCATCACGTACGTCTTCAATATCTCCCATTCACATGAAGCAGCATGCGCTGACCAGCCTACAGTCTCCTCTTTGGTGGCAGTACTTTCATCAGCGGCTACACCATGACCTACTACAAGTTCCACGGCAGTCTACCCGGCTACAGCAACCGCAAGATTCGTGGTGGTAGCAACGACATTGACCCCGACAAGGAAGCCTTCTCCATGGCGCCCCACGGCGACGAGGCCTATGAACGCGTCCACATGGATGACCATGACCACGACGGCCCCAGCGCCGGCGCCGGCAGCTACAGCAACCGCTACGGCGCTGATCCCAACCCGTACAGCGGCGGACACTACGAGGAGGAAGACCCTAATCGCTACGGCGCCGTGCCCCCACGCGGCAATGCTGGCGCCTTCTTCGACAGCGAGACCCAGTATCACTCTGGCGGTGGTGCCGGCTCCCCGCCTCCGGTGGTGCCCGCCGCCTCCCCTTACCGCCCACCTGCTGTGGAGGACGTGCCGGTCCACTTTCCCCCGGCCAACTATGATCGTGTTGATCGGTAATCGCATGCATGCGGTGCTAGGCAGAGTAGCTTGTTAGCACGAGCAGGGGCCATATTGTGAGGCTTTCGGATTTTGGGTACGACGGAACGGTAACAGCATCATTGCACTTTCTAAGCGGCGTTTTAGGGGACTAGGCAGTTTTATTGTCGACTTCAGCATCTTGATTTAGTGAGATGGGGATCGTCTGGTCGATACATTCTGAGTTAGCACCTCCGGTCCGTTTGGCGGACGGTACATAGGGATCTTTAGCATAGCATCAACTATTTAACTTGTTGGCATCCGAATGACTGCAAATGATGCAGGGATAGCATGGCATGGTTTTTTGCTGTACCAGTACCTGAATCCACCAGCACAAGAGACAAGGAACTGCTCAAAACCTGTAACCTGTACAAATTGCAAAATTACAGCTAAGCTACGCCCTTTTGCTATTACTACATTTTCCGCCGTTTGATATTCACGTCACAGTGGCACAGCACCGCCACAACTTGAGTTCCGCTGTTGGCTAATGGGCCCACTTTTCACACCCGGGCCGGCGGGCCATGGTACCAAGACGCCACCAGGCAAGACGACACACGAGAGTACGTGCACGCGACGAGACGCGGCACCGTGTAAATGGCCTTTGGCGTTTTCCCCACGGAGCAGCCCTCCCGTCCTCCCAGCCTCATACTATTACTTGTTGCTCAACGAGACAATACTAATCCCTTATACTCTCAAAGTGGTTTCATTTTTCTTTTCTTCTACTTGGTCGGCCTCCCATACTTCCTATACTTTCAACTCATTTCATCGCCGCCTCGTCCTCTTCCCCCGTTGACTGCTTTTTCGCCTCCGCAGGCAGCGATGCATTTCCATCATGGTCCCTCTACATACTCGACAATCCCATCGAGCCCGCCCGCGTCGGCGGTAGCGTCAGCCTCCAACGTGAACTCCTCGCCTGCCGGCCCCTATCTATCGCCGTCCCGTACAAGACGGGGCAAGGAGCGTCGAAACCCTTCCGTGACGCCAAGACGATTCGGCAGATTCTTCACGCCTCGGTCGTCCCTTCCGGGAGTCCCTGTGCTGCGCTTGCCTCTCGACACTCTTGGGAGCTCCGAGATCAACCGTCAACCGCTCTCCCCAGAATCCTTGACCAGCGATGCCCTTATGTCGGACCCCATATGCTCCTCGCCGACGGAAAGAACGGTCCGCGGCGGCGCGAGCAAGCGACACTGCCCGGAAGACTCCCTGCGAGCTCTCAAGAAGAGACGCGGCTTTGCGATGCATGATTTATCGCTGCCACAGCTGAAAATGCCTGAGATTGTCTCGGAAGATGCTCCAAAGGAGAACGGCATGGCACGTTCCACGAGCGAGAACCTTGGCGATATGCGAAAAGCAACTCTTGTACGACCGGATCATAGCCCTACCCCAAAGTTATCAACTGACTCTCGGCAGAATTTGTTCTTCAAGGCTAGTCGTGGCGGACTTCGAAATATAGAAGAGAAATCTCTCCCATCGACACCAGATATTATTTCTTCCGATGTTCAAGGCCACACTGTAGGTCTCCCTGTCTCGCCACATATGAACTCCTCTAACACTGCACAGGCTCTGGAAGGGTATAGACCACAGCCCATCCGCAAATTCCACAACCGAGGCTTCGAGTCACAACTTCTCAACCGCGAACATGGCTTTTCTTCATACGCTAGCCAACGGCATCTCGCCACACCAGCCTGCGATCCCCGCGCCGAAACAGCCGCCTATTACAGCCGCTGGAACGACGTTCATCAATGCACGTTATACACTGGTCCTGGCAATACAATTCCGTTTTCACTAGCGAGCTGCCACAAGGCACCCGTCACAGCCATTGGTGATGAGCAAGGTTATGTGCGCCTATTCAAAACTACCGACGGCGGCAACTCCCTCGACTCCAAAGTGGATATCCGCATCAAGGCTCATGACAACGCCATCATGGCACTTGATTTTTCCGAGAATGACCTCCGTCTTGCCACTGCCTGTGGTGATCGCACCGGAAAGATTATAGACGTCCCTACGCAAAATACCGCAGCCGAATTAAATGGTGGTCACTTTGACTCTTTGCGTCAAATTGCTTTCCAGCAGGGCCAAGCGAATGGGAGCACACTGGCTACCTCTGATCGTGCCGGCCGTATTCAGATGTGGGATCTGCGTTGCTCGCCCATGCCTGTCAACTGCTTCTCTACCATTGACTGTGATAATAAAGTTATACAACGTGATATACAGGTCGAGCCCATCCCCGCCAAGACTGTCAACACAATTGAAAACTCTCATGAGCGCAAGGTTCACGGCTCCACAAACTCGGCATCGGTCACGGCCATCCAATGGCTCCCTGCTGGACGCGAGCATCTTCTCCTCTCTGCATCCGAGGCCGACGCAACCATCAAGCTATGGGATACACGTTACATCAAGCCTCGCCGACAGCTCGGCGAGACAGCGCTCGCCATGACACAGGCGCCTGCCGGCCACGCGTGGCGCTCCTACGGCACCACGTCCATGGCGCTGAGCTCCGACGCCGCACGTCTTTACGCTGTCTGCAAAGACAGTACTGTGTACGCCTACTCGACAGCGCATCTAATACTTGGTCACGCGCCGGCCCTTGAGGACAATGCCGCGAAACGTAGGCCAGGCGGTGCCCAGGGAATTGGTCCTCTGTATGGGTTTAAACACGACAAGTTTCTCGTTCGTTCCTTTTACGTCAAGTGCGCCATCCGCCCGGCCCGTACTGCCGGTGGACCCGAACTTCTCGCCGTCGGCAGCTCCGAGTCTTGCGCCGTTCTCTTCCCTACCGACGAGCGCTACCTCCGTGCCTCCTGGGCCGCCAACGACCATATTCTTCCCGAGGTGCGCTCCGGTTCCTTCTCCGTGTCGTCCTCTTTTGGCACCTCCACGCCGGCAGTCTCGACGCCGCAGGGTGGCTGCAGCGCCAGCAGCACCCTTCCCATGTACCGCGCCGGCACACCGCTCATCCGCGGTCACTCTCGCGAGGTGACCACTATGAGCTGGTCCTACGACGGCAAGCTCGTCACCGCGTCGGACGATTGCGTGGTCCGCCAGTGGCAACCAGACGCTACTGCAGCACGGCACCTCCGCACCGTGGGCGAATATGGCGGCGAGCGGCACATGGCGGGCTGGGCCGACGTGGCGGCCGACTGGGACGTCGACGAGGAGGAGTAGTGCGGGGTCTCCTGCAATTCGGCATTCGATTGCATACGAAACCATTTTTAATGAATAATGATGTTGTTTTTATAGGATATGACAGCAATGATGGGCATCTATTGTCGGCCTGGATGATAAATCATCTATTGTGCTTGGTCGCTGGCGAGAAGCGACGTTTAAAACATTGTCAGGAACACAAGCAGAAGCCCATCAATGGCCACATTTTGCATAGCCGGCGTTATTGAATAGGAAAATGGTTACAAGCTATAGCTTTCTAATCATACTTAATTGTTGAGGACAAAGCCGGGGCGGGAAACTTTACAAACCCATTAACTGTATAATTCCTTGTGTGTGTGGTGTAGTCGTAATTTCATATTGGTCTAAAAAACGTCGATTAACAAGAAGGAGGAATAAAAAGTCAAACGGATTGATATGCAGCGTCGTGTTCTGTTGGGCGCTGTTTCACCTCGTCCAATCAAATTCACCGTGCTTAAAACACAATCTCACACGCTCCTGGTATCTCCGCATAACGCCATGGAGCCTCATCTCGAGACCAAAAAAACACCCGTGACCAAAATACCAAAAAGCGCAACCAAAAGGTAACGGGCCAAGTCGGCTTTGTTGAGCTGCTCGAGCCGCGCCGCCATCGTCGTTTGCTCGTTTTGCGGTTGAAGCGCCAGACCAGAATTGAAGCAGACGGATCTAACGGCCGCGATAGGACACACCTCAACACCCGTGACGACAGGTACTTGTGGGTGCTCGGGAACAACGCTTCCACTGGTGCGTGATTCGGACGAGGCGCTGGAGCGCGTGTTGCGTCGACGGATCACGGTACCAGCGCTGTCGCTCTCGCTGGAAGACGTTGCGTGCGAGCTTTTGGCGTTCCTCTCCTTGGTCACGGACACGCTATCGCGCAGGCGGCTGAGTAGAGGCACGGAATGCAGGTAGTCGCCGGGTGTCGTCGCAGCGCTGTCACTAGTCTCGTCCTCGCAGATGGCATCCAATTGCTGCACAAGAGAAATCATGTGCTCGAATATATGCATCGCCTCTTGGACAATGTCGTCCGTTTCCTGCGGGTCGAGAGCTGCTTCACAGATACGCACCCTGCGCTTGAACTCGACCTTCAAGTCCTCGCCATCGTGTGGGGTGTCAAAGTGGAAGAAGCTCAGTGGCAGAGGGTGGCATTTATGCGACTCGTTGTGGAACTGCGAGTCTTCGGTCATGCCGTCTTGAAAGGCCGGCGTAGGTATGCAGGGCTGCATGCTGGGCTTGATGGGTGCCAGAGGAGTCTGCCAAAATTCATCGCCTGTCGATTCTAGCGTTGCTCGGATAAATCGTCCTCCAGCAAAGAGGGCCATGTACATGATGTATGTATAGGTCACGATAAGAAGCGGCTTGTTCTGTATGGAAATCTTCATGTGATTAATCATGGCAGCAAGAGCCGGCGCTTGGGCGGCGTATTCCAGCTGGCTCTCGACGACGTGGTCAGACCAACCCGTCAATGCTTTGATGTCGGCTTTCAAGCAACCCCCTCGCGCGAGCCCCGGGAGCTGCAGAGCATGAAGTACAGAGTGCACTCGAGCAGGGAGGCCGAGCTTGCGCTGATGCGGTGCCGGGGTGGACACCGGTGAGGTGTCATCATGGGTTGTGTCGGATAGGGGCAGCAGCGGCGCAACCAGCTCGGCATGAGGACCAACGTCGTCTTCCGGGCCCGGGCCGAGGAATTCGTTCCAAAGACTCTCAAAAGTCAGGTATATTGGTGTAACATGCAAGAGTCCGGTGACGTAGGTGGAAGGATCTGAGGCGCGGGGTGGCAGGGCCAGAGGTAGTCGGGCGACAATGGACTTGTTAAGTCGGGCGTGGATGCCTCGCGTGATGGCAGCGATAGCCTCGGCGAGGGGCTTATCCTGACCACGGCGGCGCGTAGCTTCGAATGTTGTGCTGTCGGAGACGGCCATGATGATGTAAATGCGGTGCTGAATAATGCTGTTGAAAGAGGAAATGAGGCTTCGTAGGACTCCGACGCAGGTTGTTATAGGATGGCCGGGAGGTTAACAGGTGTTGCAAAGGAAGAGGTCAAAGGAGAATGTGTCTGTCTGGGCGTTTACAGCTCATATCAGGAGTGACGGAATGCTGTGTAGCCTGAGTAAAGTAGCTCCTGCCATGTCGCACGCGGAACGTTTGCGTCGTGGCGATACTAGGGAATGAGACTGTGGCGCATGTGGCTCGTACGAGTGGCCGGAGGTCACGTTGAATCAGAGGTGATATTTGGATAGAAAGCACATGAAAGCGGCAAAGACCTGCCGTCACAGATGAATCCTTGCGTCAATGAAATGGCAGCCACGCTGGGTTAGCCCACGGTGCGTGACACTGCTGGGTTGGTAACACGGCTCCTTGATTGGCAGTACGGCGATGAGAAATGTAATGCAAAGACTGCGTCGTGCGGACTTGTACGCGTAATTGGTGCATCTGTTGACTGCAAGTCTGGTCACATTGCCAATAAGGGTATTGTGCATGAAGAGAAGAGGCAGTGGTGGCGCTGGGTTGGTGTGTTGTGAGGGAGACAAACCTCAGCTGACAGGGACCAGGCGGAGGACAGAGAAAACGCCATTAATAAGTTGTCAAATCCAGTATTTTATTGTTATCAAAATCTGGGGCGAGCAACCTCGGAGAATACCGACTGAGGATCGAGCCGAGAGTGGTTAATCGGTCGAAAATCCTATTTGCCTGTCCCACCTCGAGAAGCGCCGCCAACGCTAATTACCGAAAAAAATGTCACACTGGCAGCCGGTCCAACCGATTTGAGACGGTGAATAAAAGTTGTAAAAGCCGCGGCACTGTTTCAAACTTTGGTTAGTTCCATTGTCACGAGCGGTTCGCTCCAGTTTCCTTGCCACACAAGCATGCGTGTATGTACCAAATTCTGTACACCATTGTCACCACCGCACGTTTAAAGACACTCGTGGATCCGAAGAATAGTCTATGAGTTGTGACAATCTAACCTCAGGCCTGCCACTTTGGATTGTTGGGAAGATTCGAGTCCAAAGGTCGTAATCTTGAGATGAGACGACCTGGAAAATGGGTGCATGCTTGCAAACAGACTTTGGCAAGAAGCTCTCACCAAGGGGATAGTGACTCCGGAAATAATCGACGAAAAAAAAAAGTCGGATATGTGTATGCAAATTTTTAGAACCTCTGCATCCTAGTCGCTTACTTCGCTTCATTGTGGTGGCCAGCTTCTCTCTTGCCGCACCTGCAATGTGGTAACTAACTGTTCGCCTGCTTCACCCCACCCGCCACCGTCGAACCCATCTTTCCACCACCATCTCACCACCTTCTTTCTGAACACCAACATCTCGGGCTGCAGATATACTCCATCAAAATGGTATTCCCGCCATGAGAGCCTCTCGCTATACCAACACCCGTCAGAAGTCATGTCGGCAATGCTACAGCGCCAAGGCTCGTTGCGATCGCGTCCAGGGTGGGTGCGCCCGATGCGCTCAGCGCGGCCTCGTCTGCGCTTACCCCCAGGCAAACGCGAAGCCGTCGACACTACGCTCCGGCGCCCCAATCCCGAGCCCGGCTTCAGAGATCTCACTCGCTCCGAGCTCATCTGGAATCACGACAGAGTCTGTTGTCGCTGCAAACGCGTCGCATCGGACCACTAGCCCTGACGCTTCCAGTGCTTCCGCAGATGAGGCCGACTTGCGCCACGGCCTCGATTTCTCCAGCCTGAAGCTTACCTGCCCCATTGACGTAGAGAGGATCCAGAACCGATGGCTCAACCCCTTTATCGAGCAGCCGGATCAGACAATCAAGAAGTATCCGCCCATGATTGCACGCTTCGTCTTTCGCATCCTCAAGTCGTACGCCGCCATGGCAGCGCGCGGCCGCGTCGAGTTGCCATTTATCCATCCGACTTTGATGGAAGTGCCGAGCTCACACCTCGCGACGTGCATGAGCCTAGCCCGTGTCAGCGACAATCCACGGCCCGGAAGCGAAGCTGTGGCAGCGGCCATTCTCCAGCGAGAGATGGATGCCATTACGGTGCAAGACCAAGACGATGCTGATGACCTGACCGCCCTTGCTGCCTTTCAGGCTTATCTCATCTACATCTTGATTTTATTCTTCCGCCTGAAACAGGGACCCAGTCCGTTCTTTCGCAGCGCAATGACGACTCTGCAGGGCCTAGCCTGTGTCTCGTCACGAATGGGCCTTGTCTGCGCCGCCGATGCCACGCACACACGACCTCGATGGGAGGAGTGGATCGTCGCCGAATCGAAGCGAAGATCGCTCTATGTCATGTATTTGCTGGACAATGTTCTTTCGGACCAGGAAAACCTGCCCACATATCTCGGCACAGAGCTGCGCGGCCTGCCTGTCCCCTCCAGCAAGGCGCTGTGGCAGGCGCCGACCCGCGCGCGGTGGGAAAAACAGTACAATGTGTTTCTGGCAGAGTGGTCGGACAACAATCTCGCCATAGACGAGCTCTGGCCGATTCCACCACAGATGGACGATGCGGGCATTGCTCGGCGGCGGAGGCGCGTAGACCATTGGCTAGAGAACTTGGACGAGTTTGGTACCATGTTGCTGACCGTGACTGGAATGACACATGGGACCTTGTAACCATATCACTACATGTATAATTACGCGAAAAAGGAATGAGTAACTTTTGCACGTTTTTGCAGTTGGATGTTTTATTTGATGGGAGGTTAAAAGAGCATCATGCGACAAATTGCTTGTGGAACTTGGCTTGGGTCGGTCGATTTGGGGCAGCAGCACACAACTCTTTGAGGGTCATCACAATACAAATCCATTGAACGCGGAGCTGATTGAAAAAGTACCGTATGTGGCAGACCAGAGCCTCATGAGAGGGTGAAAGAAGGCTTGAAAACAGCATCTGCGATTCGAGATGCATATTCGTCGTGAGCGCAGGTTAATGATGAACGTGTCAATTAGTGACGCAGAAAGCCAGCTACTACGCTGTATACGATGAATTACTATTCTTAATGTCTTTATACAAGATCCAATACCAACAGGGACTCTTCTTCCAACTGCCCAAATTCGGCAATGAATTGGACCGGGGGCGACGCAGGAACCATGGTAGTTCCCAGACATGTTTCGTTTGTGTTGGCAGCCAGCCCTGTCTCTACTGCGGACATAAACCAAGTAAACAGTGACCACTTACGGAAACAACTTAATTTAGACTTAATTATGACCAAATAGTTATCGCCGACAAGGTCGGTAGTTTGATGCGGGAGGGTGCAACTTACTGACTGGTGGGGTTGCTGGGCCGGCCAGCGGTTGGGTGGCGCCGGAGTTGAGCGGAGTTGAGACCCCCTCCGGCACCGGACTTGATAAACTCGGCCCCGGCGCGGTATAGCCAACTTTAATACCATCGACGTAGCTAATCTCCATTTCATTAATTTTCTTTATAAAAGCATTATCCTTTCCCTCATGGGGAGCAAATTAAACACCTAATACACTATGCAACTTACTCTTTCTTCTATAGTCGTAGTCAACCTGATCAACTTCTGCACCCTAACCTGACTTAAAAGTCCTAGCATCCATTCTTCTTATATGATACAACCTGGACGACATGCCAGCTACTGAGCGAGAAGAGCGTAACGGAGGCGCTCTCGAAGCGGCGCAACCAGCGCCTACTGCCAACGAAACTCCATTCACAATATTTGACAAGAGGCAAAAGTGGTTCATTGTATTTATCGTTTCTGTCGCCGCCACCTGTACGTCTCCCCCCTCCCCCTCTTCCCCTCTCCCCTCCCTCAACTCCCAAGCCTTCTTTACATTGCTAACCGGCCAATGATTTCAAAAAAGTCTCTGGCTTTGCCTCCAACATTTACTTTCCCGCGCTACCCACCATCGCTGCCGACCTCGACGTCTCGGCCGAGCTCGTCACGCTCACCGTCACCTCGTACCTCGTCTTTCAAGGTCTCGCGCCGAGCCTCTGGGGCCCCGTGTCCGACGTGCGCGGGCGCCGCGTCGCCTACCTGTGCACCTTTGTCGTCTTCCTGGGCGCCTGCGTCGGCCTCGCGCTGACGCGGCGCTACGCGGGGCTCGTCGCGCTGCGCTGCTTGCAGAGCGCCGGCAGCGCGAGCACCATTGCCGTCGGCGCCGGCGTCATTGGCGACATGACGACGCGCGCGGACCGCGGCGGGTTCATGGGCGTCTTCCAGGCCGGGCTGCTGACGCCCGTTGCCGTCGGGCCCATCATCGGCGGCGCCGTCGCCGGTGCGCTTGGCTGGCGCGCCGTCTTTTGGCTGCTGACCATTTACAGTGGCGTTTTCCTCCTGGTGCTGCTGGTGGCGCTGCCGGAGACGCTGCGGTCGCTGGTGGCGAATGGCAGCGTCGTGGTTCCGGCGAGGGGCGGGTGGCTCGCGAAGTTTCCGTTGAGGGTGTATCAGAGGACAACGAAGGTCGCGTGGGATCGGGCGGCGCCGTCGCCAGTGCTGCCGCCACCAAAGAGCATCGACGTGCTGGGGCCGCTGCGTATTCTGGGGAGCAGGTGCGCGACGCCGATTATCATCTTCATGTCTGTGTACTACACGGTGTGGCAGATGAGCATCACGGCCATGTCGTCGTTATTCAAAGACCGCTACGGTCTGAGCGAGATGCAAATCGGCCTGACATTCATTGCCAACGGCGTCGGCTGCATCCTCGGCACCCTCGTCAACGGCCGGATCCTCGACGCCGACTACAGTCGTGTCAAGGCCCAGGTCGCCGCCGCCGCCGCCGCTGCCGGCGACTCTGTCTCGGACGGACACGACGACGACGTTACCAGTTTCCCTATTGAAAAAGCGCGCCTTCGACTCCTACCCGTCTTCTCGCTCATCCAGTGCCTGTCCATCCTGCTTTTTGGCTGGACCATCCAGTATCCGCGCAGCGTGCCCATTGCCATCCCCATCATCTCGACCTTTGCCACCGGCTGGGCCGCCATCTCCACGGTGGCGGCCATTTCGACCTACCTCGTCGACGTCTTCCCCGACCGCAGCGCCGCGGCGACTGCCAGCCTCAACCTGGCGAGGTGCCTGTTCGCGGCGGGCGGCACGAGCTTCGTCATGCCCATGATTGGTGGCATCGATGTCGGGTGGACGTTTACGATTTGCGTCGCCGTGCAGCTGCTGGCGCTGGTTGGGCCACTGGTGCAATATCGATATGCTGGGAAGTGGAGGATGGAGATGGAAAAGGCCAAGGCGGTCAAGGCGTCAAAGACTGAGCATTAAATCCCTGCCGCATACTGAAGCGTATTTTTTTTTTGGGTAACAATAGTTACACTTGCAGCATCACTGCATAGAGCATGAACATTTATAGACTTAATTCTAGACATCAATTGCATAGGAGCCGCGGCCTCGTCTCGCTACGCTAGAATGCGCCTTCCCGTTTTTATGCTTCGGACATGCCAAAGTCTCGCATGGCACAGGCGACAACTTGCTATTTTCATGTAAGAAAGATTCTAATGCAATTCTAGCGCTTCGAGATGTCCACTCTCCCATTCAAAGTCCACATATTCAGGCCATGTGAAACGCGGTATCCCAGATCTATGCCGTCTATGCGCCCCCCGACCAAGTCAATAATAACCCAATTGTGTATGCTCGAGTTACCTCAGTCCCGTTTCCTCCTTCTCCTCGCCCTGACTCTCGTTGCTGACAAACACAAAAGACAAGAATACAACGGCCGCACCGATCCAGTACACGAAGCTGGAGTACTGACCGTATTGAATCATTTCACCGATCAGCGACAGGGGTATGGTCAGCGATAGGCCAACAGTGACGATGAGGGGCGTGGTCAAGAGCATGGCGAATGCCCAGAAAATGTCACTAACAAAAGAGGAAAGCGAGTTGGCCTGCGACGGGATTAGTAAGATAAGGAAGACTGCCTTGTGGAGAGACTTACTAGGATAATGGCCCAGATCTTTCCAGTAGGAGGTAATTGAAACTATGCATTGTCAGCATGCGCATCGTGTAACGCGCCATGTCGTGCAACATACCGGCTCGATGCCTGTCCAATGGAACACAAAAAAAAGTGGCCACAAGAACAGCATATTGAAAACGCCAACTAAGCCAAAGAACAATCTCATGTCGACTTTGTCTTCATCTCCAACCCTCCTCTTCATGACCGTCACATACATGCCGTAGACGACAGCGCTGATGAGAGCCATCGAGTCACCAATCGCAATTTGGCCCGTAGTCTTGTGTGGAAATGAGCCTCGATGCTCATCACTGCTGCCTGTGAGGTCTACCGTCGAGATCAGGACAATACCAATCAGCGACGCCAAGACGCCAAAGAGCTTACGCAGCGAAAACGACTCCACCTCGAAGATCGCGCAGAAGACGAGCGTCCAGATGCTCGATGTTGACGTGAGAATAGTGACGCTTGCCACGCTCGTGTATTCGAGACACGCTGAGGCAAAGTAGTTGGCGAGAAACCAGAGCATGCAAAACTCGAGACTGAGGTAGGCCGTGTCGGCAAAGGTCAACTTGTCAGGCGCCGTATCACTTGAGAAGGGGGCCGGGACACCAGTCTCTCCATCTTGGTTGGCTAGCAGGCGCTCGCCATCGACCGCGTCTTGTTCTTCGTCCTTGACCGTGCTCAAGTGAGCGCTGCGGTTACTGCGCTGGTGCCATAGCTGGATCAGGTCGGTGCGCAGACCACTGATTCCATTCTTCACCATGTAGCGCACAAACATGGGTATCAGGGATATAGCGAACATCGATGTGTTAACGTAGACGAGGAAGAAGGGCTTATCGTAGGTGTGATCGGAGAAAATAAACTGCAGTGTCCAGTTAGTAAGAGTCGGCCGAGTCGGACTTGTCCAGGGCCACGTACGCTCGCTAAAAAGTTGGACAGCGTCCAGAGGAAGACGACGACAATCAGCAGGCAGATACCCAGCGTCCGTCTCGCATAGCCTCCTAGCCCGATCTTGGCGAGCAGGCTCTTGCTGGAAACGGCATGCGGCAATGCAGCAGCAGCGGGCGCTCTCGCGACATTGCCGGCTGCGACGGGCTCCTCCAGCTCCAGCGCCTCGCCCGAGAATCGACCGGCCGAGAGATCCGTCACGGCTCCGGAGGCGTGCCTAGCCGCCAGAGAGACCATGATGGTTCGATTCGGAATCGGGGCGTGTCGCGTGCTTTATGTCGGGGGCCGCACGGCTGCTTTAGCGGCTGCGTCGGAGGGACGCCGTTGAGCCAGTCAACGAAGAGCGTGATGGGCCGGAACGGGGAGGCATTCGGCTCAGGAAAGCGGAGGATAAGAGACAAAGAGGTCAAAGCGGTTCGTCAGAAGCGAGTGACGGGTGGCCCAGGATGTCGATTGCAGGACAGGGGTTAGGTGCGGCCGTTGTTGAGTGAGGATAGCCTCAGTACGGGAGTGGTGTTTCTAAAGTTTCGTTGCCGACAAAAGCAAAAAGCCAGGAGGCGCTAATTACTTTCCTCACACAGTCCGTATTAATGGGTCCGCGTGGCTCGGTACATGCCGTACATACCTACCTGGTTTGCTGGTACATGTCACGCCCCCACCACGTTCCGTAGTGGGGGGGCTCGACATTGTCTCTTTCGCTATGGCGTCACACCAATGTACACTGCCGCGCACGTGGGGTTTACAGCCTTGCTAGAGAATGAGAAAGGTCAAAATCCAAGTGTAGAATATATTATTATGGTTGTTTATTCTCTAGTTAGTTATCCGCTCACACTTCTACACAGCAAAGGCAATTACGCAATCCAAACCTTCCAAGATGACGCGCTGCTCTTTCTGCGCGGGAAGAGTCTACGGTGCAACAAATACAGCAACTTTTGACAAGCCAACAAGATTAATCGCGACTGCTCGTGGCAATCTAATCCCCTAAAAACCCCGTGAGATACAGCTTGTCGATTTTGAACGGTAGACTCTCTAGTCTCGAGCGTGTGACTATTACGCTCCGTTCCCCAATTGACAGCGTTTTAAGTATTCGCGCAGCTAAATCGAATCTCTGACATTTTCACTATTCAATCGCTTTGGGATCGTCGTCAAGTCGGCAGTGGCCCAACGTGGACAGTTGGCGAGGTTACGTCCCAATGTGTTGGCTGGCTTGGAGAGTGCAATTTAACCATTTCAACAAAATCCCCCTCTTCAATTTCTACTAACCTTTTCTTCCTTTGTTTATTTTCATTATACCAGGATTTTCAAAAAAAAAAAAAAACAAACATTTCGTACACAAGTTCCGTTTCTATACACCCAGAAACCTTTGGCAAGCTATTTAGGTCATTGATCGCACGACCTGACAGCATCCACAAGTTACAAGTTGTGATGTTAAATGTCTCCTTGATTTAAATACCAAAGTTCATCCTCTAACTATACTCTTCCCTGTTGTTTCAGCTAGTCACTTCCTCCCCTCCACTTATATTGCTTTCGCTTCACGTTTTCGCTCCGAGACGGTCGGGGCCGGGTCGTCGAACCCCTGAGTCAGGCATCGTTTTGACGTACAGTGGGTTATATCTTGGCGGTTTTTATGGCGCTTTCTGGCGCACTGTGGCGCAGACAGCGCTGTAGGACCCTCTATGACAGTCCATGAAACCCCTGGAAATTCTTTGAATCCTAGGTACCTACTGAAAGTCAATAACAGATGGTGGCTGATGATGGCTGAGATGCATGATACGTGGCTTGCGCCTTTTCCTGTTGATCAACTTCCGCGCTTTAACCACCAGCATATCATCATTTCCAAAATTTGTTTCCATCTTTAAACCCGGGCCATCGCTGGACCCGAGCCAAAGTCTCCTTATGATCAAAGGCATTTCTGATCCCATGGCACTTGAGCTGCGACCGTGTTTCCGCCGTGAGCTTCCATTAGCTGCCGTTTGAATTGCCTCTCGAGATCGATCATCATGCCGACGACGTGTCCAGGCTCAGAAAGCTAGTCAGATACCACAGCCGCCTTTTTGGAGTCATGAAGCGACGCCTCTATGCACGCGGCTATACAAGTCGATTACCTCAATTTCCGACGACCTCTGCGAAAAAACATAAACTATCTGTACCCTTTTCGAAGACGCCTAGCGTACAACCAACACCGTGCTTCCTGGCAGTGTCTAGTACGCTGCAGTGCAAGTCCGCCTTCGATACAGTATTGCCGCAATTTATGAGCATGGTCAAAATATTCTGAGAGCGTCTAAAATAAATTGCCGGTACACAGCGCCGAAGACTCAGCCTCACAACCGCTGCGCGCTCGATCAAGAACACTGTACCATCGCGCGTGAGCTTGTCCAAAATCACCAGGGATAGGAACGTGCTCGCCATTATCGATGGCCGGGCCTCCACCATGTACTTTGCGAAACATTTTTTTTCCCTCCCTAGCTAGTGCGGCAGCCCGTGGTGTCGTGATTGAGCCAACAACTTGGAGCTATTAATCAGCAGGGGATTCGACGCATACCCCATAGGAAGCAACTGTACGTTGCAGCCTTCTGGACGAGCCGAGTGCCGCGAGCGCTGCCTCGAGCTGATGCCTGTATGATACGCGATGCCGGTCCTAGGAACGTAATTCGGTCGAACTACTGGTCTGTCAGGGATGGGAAAGGGCAGCGGTTAGCTGAAAGGACGTGCCAAGAGAGATGGCGGACAACTAGCAGTGAGGTAGTTAAATAGTGTGATTTTATTGTTCACTAAGGAGTAAAACTCTTCAGCGGAGTCTCGCCTCTGTGTTACGGAGTTCTTACTCCTTGGTGAATAATGAAGTCACACCATTTAACACCTCGCTGCTAGTCATCCGCGATCTCTCTTGGTACTTCCTTTCAGCTAGCCGCTACCCTTCTTCATCCCTGACACTAAGCTCCCGAGTATGCTCACAGCCATTAAAGTTTATGACACAGACTTTCCGACATGAAAAAGAGTGCTTACTACTACAGTCGACAGTCTTCAGAAAGAGCATAGAGAGACGCTAATGACATACATATGCAGTGGATATTACTATACCAGCGACATTGTCAGCACGCAAAGCACGTGTGCGATTCATGACGAGCTGAAAGCTGTGCGTACCTTGCTGAAGAATGGTACTAATTCTAGACTCTGCATTGAGCAGCAGACGGCGCTCAAGCAAGCTATGAAAAGTAAGGAAAACGCTATTACCAAAGTGCTACTCAGCGTTTTGAAACACTGATGAATGGTACACCCCGTCTTCAGTTTGCAGCGAGACATGTTAATCTGGCTACGAGCAGGTATCTGTTAGAAGAGAACCAATCTGATATAGATGACACATCACAATATGAGAAAGCCGACTCCTCTTCACTAAGTAATCCACAGCGTCGTGGCACTGCACCTTGGGGAAAAATCACGCAAATATCCATCTCAAAGAGCAAGGTGGATACACGCCCTTCCTTGCATGTATCCGCCGAGGTTTCCGACGAGCGCGTGGCAGCATGGCTGCTGATTTATGGTGGCGACGTGCATGCCATGGCGGACGAGAATCTCACGGCGGTGGGGGTTTTGCGCAAAAAAACGTAATGGAGACTCAACTTCTAGTGCGGCCTAGCTTGCTTCAAAGTTGTTGAGTCCAGAGCGTCCTGAACGGCGAAGGCTCCCGATGATGTGAGCTGGTTACCCCACGAATTCATTAGTTTGAGTGGACTCGACGAACTAGTTACCCCGGACTTCGCATTGCTTGGCATGGAGCCATGGGAAGTGGCGCTCTGTCGTCAGCACCCATGGCTTGAGACTACTTTTTCAATGCATTCATTGTCAACCTCGGTAGCTTCTGATGTTTGATACAACAACAACAACAACAACAACAACAACAACAACAACAACAAGATCATTGGGGTTGGATAGACTTGACATATGGGCAACGGGCGGACCTGCAGCGAAGAGAAGAGGCAACCAGATAACGAAACTGCAACCTACCAGTCGATGAAAGAGAAATCCGCACCAATCTTCTGCAATAATAATGCTATTCCTATGAGGAATGGTACGAGCGATTTTTAAACTCTAAAATAAGACAGGGAGCAACTGGCACGATGCTTACCGTTATTGCAGTTGAATATTGGCAACCAACCTCCCGAGGTGGCGCGATGGGCGAGGAATAATGACGGATATTAAGACACGCGGAAAAGAAACAAGCCAAACCCCCCACCCCGCATTGATGTCTTGCTTGTACCTGTCAACAACAAACTTGAACTGATCAGCAACTGCCGATAGGTTCAGAAGCTGCGACAACTTTTTGCGCTATAGTGCGGGGAAGTCGATTCGAGACTAGTTGGATGGATTCCTGGCGGGGATCTAACTTTAGCGGTTGTCGTCGCGATGTGGAGAGCCTCGGGATTCCTCACCTAGTTATACCACAAATCTCATCTACTAGGTACGCCGACCACTCATGTTCCCCTCCGGCGGGCGTCATTTATTACACATCAAGGTTATTCAGGTCGCTCTTGGCTCGTCGTATCGTACACGAGGGTCACATTATGCAAAAAAAGACACCTCGGCTGCGGCTGGTCGCTCGTGAAGATGTATATTGCCCTTGCAGCTGCTTCGAAGAGGCGTGACTATATAAGTCTGCGATTCTGCTTCACTTGAGCCTCGAATCATCAGCAACACCAGTTCACAGAACACTCCAATCCTCTTCTCTGTCTTCTTCTATAGAGCTTCATTTCTTTTTTTAAAACTCTCTTCTCTCAAGACAAGTCAAACACACAACACTTTTTCACCATGAAGTTTAGCCTCGCCACTGTTGCCCTCTTTGCCGGCGCCCAGGCCTTTGTCGCCACACCCGTCGAGCGCTCGCCTCCCACGCTCGTCGAGCGCGACCTGGCCACCGTCACCTCTGTGCTCGCCGACGTCAAGACGGGCTTCAGCAACCTTCAGCAAGCTGCCGCCGACTTCAACGGCGACCCCCAGCCGCTCAAGAACGAGGCCGCCGCCGTCATCAGCAAGGTCGAGGCGGGCACCACGGCCATTACCAACATGACGCCGCTCACCGTCAACGAGTGCCTCTCGCTCGTCGGTCCGTCCAACGACCTCGCCAAGCAGGGCGATGCGCTGTCCAAGGAGCTCCAGGGCCGCAAGGCCGACGTCGAGAAGGCTAAGGAGTGCGACACCGTCCGCGACTTCCTGAACACGGGAGTGACTGACGCCGAGGCCCTCATCGCCGCGCTCAAGGCCAAGTCGCCCACCGCCGTCCAGGGAGTCGTCCAGACTCAGGGCAACAAGATCACCAAGCCGCTCAAGGAGGCCCAGGCCGCCTTTGCCGGTGACAACTGCGTCAACGCATAACGAGATGGAGAATTAAATCTCGGCGCAGCTGAGCTGCTGCCTAGCAGCATTTTCTGCACAGGGAGACGAAGAGCGTTTGGAACTGCAAGCACGTGGTATTGAAGAGTGTCGCCCACCTCTATTGTTATCGGCAACAAGATTGCGTGTCAAGTATATAGCCTACAAATAAAAATGTCAATACTGCATCTCTGGTCAAAATGCTTTCACATTAGCAGCTTAATCTGATTGTACAACTTTTCAAACTACCATGGCCCCCGCTTGCATGCCCTTGCCCGGCACCAGCACGCCAGCCTTTTGCAGAATCGCCACGCAGCTCTCGACCGTCTCGGCCTTGACGCCCCTCGTCCGCGCAGGAAACTTGACCGTCTTGAGCCACTCGCGCGCGTCCGCCTCGGTGTAGTCCAGATTGGTGCAAATGTACCGCACCGCCTCCTCCTGGTTGTCGTTGAAGTGCGCGATGCCCCTGTCCAGCTTCTCAAACAGCGTCTGCACCCGCGCGTCCCCCGCCGGCAGGTCCGTCGACGCGACAATCTTCCAGCTGCTCCACGGCGTGTAAATCTCGCCGACGCGGCGAATCTCGCCCGAGTCAAAGTAGCGCTTCTGCGTAAAGTGCTCCCACATGAAGAAGTCGGCCTCGCCAGAGTTGACGGCGCCGCGCAGGTTGGCAAAGGTGTGCAGCACGACATTGTCGGAAAACGGAGGCGGACCGCCGGGGGAGAGCCAGCCGTACTGGTCGGCGAGGACAAAGCCCATGACGTAGCTGCCAGAGCCGATGCGAGAGACGCCAATTTTGCCGCCTCGGAGGGACTCGATGGACGTGATTTCTGGGCGTTGCGCACCCGTCGAGATGGCCCAGCCTAAAGGAAGAAAGAAATGTCAGCACGCTGAAATGAAACACAAAAAATGAAAAAAAAAAAAAAAAAAGGTTTTGGTGGGAGGAGGGCGCAGTGGGCGGAAATTACAGAGAGGGGTGTCGACGTAGGTGCCTACGAGACGATAGCCGCCGTCGCCTGGCAGGTCCTCCTTGCCGAGGCCGGCGATCCAGCCCTCAGTCAGGCCGATGCCAATGTCAATCTCCTTGGCCCGGAGCGCGGTGATCATGGCGCCGGTGCCCGAGGGAAACGGCGTCAGGACGGCGTCGAGGCCGTAGTGCTTCTGGGCAAAGTAGATGGGCGTGGAAAAGTGCTCGGGCACGTAGCCGATCCGAAGAGGCGCGCCTGCCATGTTGATTATCGCAAAGGGAAAGTTGTTGCGGTTGTCGCAATGGTGAGGTGGAGGAGGTAAGGCGCGAGGTTGCGAAAGTTGACGGGCCGAGCGATTTGGAGATTGGCTTTGGTGGGGTTTGGCGTTTCGAACCCCGCCATACGTCAACGATGGTGTGATAGATCACGGCACATGCGCCGGCGGGGGAGATCGAAGACAATCTTGATTGCCGATTCACCGATTCAAGATGAACCTTGTTTCGGATTACAATGTGTACATATATGTCTTGATGATATTTACAAAATTGGGCGCCCGGAGCTACCCGCAGCACGGCCCGCATCCTCCTTCCCGCTTGGAGTTGCAATTTGCGCCGTTTGTTGTCTCCGTAACAGGTTGAGCAGATGGCTGCTGTTGGTTCAAGGACGAAAAGTCCAGCCCAAACGTTGGATCCATATTGAATCCTCCCGTTGTATTCAGTGCGCTGGCATCCAAGCCAGTCAAGTCCATGCCTGCTGGATGGTCCATCATGGCGAGGAATTGCTTTGCGGATTCGTCGTCCAAGGCCGGCCAATCATTCACGTTTGCAAAATCAGGCACGCCCATTGGGAACTGCTGTTGGTAGTTTGCGGACTGAAATCCAGTCTCTGCCCCCGTCGTCGGTAGCGTCGCGAGGGCGCTCGAATGGTCCACGGCGCTTCCACCAAAGGCGGCCGCGGCATCGAGCTGCGGGGTGTTGAGCCACGAGTTTGGGTCAAACTGCGCCAGACCATCGAGGGACGTAAAATCAGACGCCGGGGTCGCAGCATTTGACCATTGAAGATCACCGCTGGTAGATAGCTGCGCGGGGCTTGCCGTGTTCAGCGTGCTCGCGGGCGACGCCAGGTCTGACAAGGTCTCTGAGATGTCGCCGAGTTGCGTCGGCGCCTGCTTCGGGCTCTTTTTGGTTGCGCACTTGCATTTCCCACCAGAAAAGCAACCACAGTCTGAGTATGTCGTTAGCCGATTATCTCTCTGTGCAGACCATGGTAGGGGGGGTTGCTTACCTGAACCTCCCTCGGACGCTCGTTTGCCACATTGGCACTTGACGTGCGCGGATCTGTTCTTGCGCTCTGAGCGACAGTGGTTGCACTGTGATACTGGACGACCCTTGGCCTTGATGTGTTGAAGAGGTCGGTCTAGATGATGGTGGTCGTTAGCGTCGGCGATGGCCCGGTTATCGGACCGTGATGAAAGCTTACCGCTGTGCTGGCAGTTGCGTGTCCTGTGGCCACGGATGCAGCCCTCGCAGGCGTACGTTTCGCCGTCGATAATCATTGCGAGATTTGTCCTAGATGTTGGCAAAACACAGTCTAGATGGAAACCCGTAGCATCGGCCGCTTTTTTGATGCGGAAAAGGCTGTGCTGGGGGTGAAATGTTTGCCAGATATGGCTGCAGTCGGCTAATGGAGCAAGCAGTCTCTGTACAATTTCACACAGGCTGTGTCTGATGCGTCATGGGGTATTTCATCCAGGGACGCGTTGTCGAGTCGAAGTATCCATCTCAGACTTGTTGGAGACAAAAGTTGCAGGGGTCAGATGAAGATCTGATGCTGTTGATTTCATGCTTTTGTCAGGTATGCATCGCCACAATGTGTGGCTTGCGGCCTTTTTGCGTACTTTTTCCTGTTAGCGTCATTTAGTGTGGCGTTTTGCGGGCATCTTTTCAGGGCCATCAATAGGCACCCGCCAACCTGAAATAAGGTTGACCGAAATATAGGTACAATTCGGCTTGGTAATCATCAAATACATAGGTAGATATTACTGAGCGGCAGCCATAATTTCTGGGAAATTTCTGTAAGTTTTTCGGACGACCTTTAATCAGCTGTTTAGCAACGCTCTCGTGCAATGTTGGCGAAACCACACAATTCGACACCAAGAAAAAAATGTATCAAATGCTCGATAGATGACAAGAAAAACAATGAACAGTACTGAAACTGGAGACGAACGTAAGACTTTGCTACTTCGTGGCGTTGTCGTGTTGACCTCCTACATCGTCTTATACCTACTTCACCCCGTCACCGGTCTCCCCGTCCGTAGATATCCTTGTGCAAAGCACAATGCAATCTGTCTCGGCTCAAAAAGCCGAGTTTCCATTGTTCGGCCCTTGTGTTGGTCACAATGCCATTTTGCTGCACGTACATGTGGTTGCTGCCGTGTCCTGGAAAAACACTCTCGCCCTCGCATCATACCCTAGACAACTGCATCGTGACCCTCATCTTCGGACTTGTTGGGTAGACTCCTACCAATGTGTCACGCTACTCATTGCCTGGGAGTATATATACTACGCGACCAGTCTCTTGCTAGCGGCCGCGATATTACATCAAGCTTTCAAACAATACATCTTCACGACGACGAACAGCGTTCTCACTGGTAGTCGGGATTGCAGCCTGACTTGCAAATAAACTGTATGTTGAGCGCAAATTGTTGAAGAGACTTTATATACGTAAGGTCATATATAAAAAAAAATAAAAAAAAAATAAAGCAAAAATACTTCTTGATGCTTCCGCTTGCTAGATGAGGGCACGGAGCTTGCCAAAGTCAAAAGATCCAAGGCCCGAGGCAGCGTCCCAGCCCGGTTTGGCGGGAAAACCTTTGCTGTCGCAACCAAAGTTGGCCCCAGAGGTAACATCGCGAAGGGCGGCATTGACCTTGTCAGAGTAGAGGAGGGGGTTGATGAAGCCGAGGCTGGACTTGCCCTGGCTCTTACGGTAGTCGTTGAGGAGACCGACAAGGCCGGCAACACTGGGGCTCGAGGCAGAGGTGCCCACGACCTGGCCAACCTTGCCGTTGACGTTGATCTGGAACTTGACGCTGACGAGGGAGATGTCGGGGTAACCACGGCCGTTAGCATTAAGGCGCTGCTGCTGGGCGGTGCTGAGGCTATTGGCGTAGGCAGTGGTGACGCCCTTGTTGTAGCTAGGGGCAGGGAAGTGGTTGGAGTAGCCGCCACCGGGGGATGTGATGTTTGGGCTGTACTGCTGGAAGTTGGCGACAACTTCGCGACCAGATGCGTCAAACTCGGTACCACCGACCGTAGTGACGTAGGGGCACGAAGCCGGCCACGTAGGGTAGTAGCCGTTCTGGCAGCTGGATTCGCCGTTGCCGCCAACGCCATTGTCTCCAGAGGAAAAGAATATGGAGACACCGCGGGAGCCGGCCTTCATGAACTCGTTGCAGATGCGGTCAAGATAGCCAGCATCGACTCCATCCTCCTCACCACCGTAGCTGGTGGAGACGGCAGAAGGCGGGTTGCTAGCCGAGTTGAGGTAATTGCCAAAGGCAGTCAAGGCATCGTCAAAGGAGTCGTTGTCGCTGCCCTCGGGGGCGTGGGCAAGGTACTCGCTGGGGTTGGGAAAGGCCAGGGCACCTATGTACTGGGTGTCTAGGTTACCCTCGAGGGCGCTGCCGTCGCCGCTGTTGCTGCCGCCGTTGACGCTGACATCCTTGAAGTCCTTTAGACCGGGAGAAAACTGACGGCCAAAGTTGAGATAGTCAGCATGGGAAGCACCAACACCAAGAAATCCGGTAGAGGCAACGAGGGTGTTGCCGGTGCCCTTGTAGTCGACGTTGTAAGCCGACTTGATGGAGGCAGGGCTGGTGGCGCTGTCAGCAGCGGCAGAAAGCCCACTGTCGTGGGTGTGAGGATTGATGTTGTGGTAGAGAACAGTGGTGGGTGTCACAACATCAATCAGGCTATGAAGGTTCTGGGGAACCGAAAACTCCTTGGTACGGGGTACCTTTTCGCCAGTCTCGAGGTGAACGAACCACTCGTACTTGCTTCCGAGGAGGGACTCCATCTTGGAGACGGGAACGGAAAACTCCAGCCAGCTGAGTAAACAGTCAGTCGACTTTGTGTGTCTTGCTTGAAGAAGTGAAATGAGAAGATGTAGAGACATACTCATTGGTGGGCATGGTGATATCGGTGATGCCGGAGCTGGCGAGCCAGGCCTTGACGGCAGCGACATCGGCTTCAGCGGGAGCAGTGTACTTGTCAACATCCTCCTTGGAGAGCCACTTGCCGTAGTTGGGGCTGTCGGGATTGGCGATATCAGAGAGTTTGTCCTGGAGGCCCTTGATGTTGTTTTACTTGATACCAATCTGAGCCTTGATAATAGCATTGCTGTCGGCAGCACCAACGGCAACCCAGCTAGAGGGGAGCTTCTTCAATTCGCCAAACTTGGTAAGAGGCCCATGAGGTGCAGGCGCAGAAAGGACGCTGCCAGCAGAAACTGCGGCGAAGCAAATCTTGGAAAAGGAAACCATTCTGAAATCTTGAATCTTTGTGGCAATGCTTGGAAGGAGGGGAATGAGACTGGGTTGCCGAATAATCATTGCAACGGAGTGCAAGGGACATTTATATACTTTATGGTGAAGGCATCCTGAGATGAGCTGAAGGTGCCTCGAATTGCCATATTAGGAAGGTTGAGAAGATTAACCAGCATTGTTTGCAAGGCATTCTGCTTCTTTTGCATTATTTGATAGGTCTTAGTTGGTACACCTGACGCGACTCAGCATGGCGTGCTTGCATCACAAAAGGTCTGCCTTCTCTTAAGAGACTAGTCGAAACTCTCGTTCAGAGTATTGGTTTCGTAATGTAACTGCTCGACGAGTACCGTGATATCGTGTGGCTTGACGACGTTCATGAGTGGTGGCCTCGGATTTGCCCCTGACCTTGCAGCGTCGAATGCCGTCCTTGGCTATCCATTGGGCGAGCTAGTCACTGCAAAAGATGTGCCTAGGCCAAGAGAAGCAGGTTGATTTTTCTTCTGGTGCCGGTTTTCCAATCAACTTGCCCTGCCATGTGTAAACAAGTTGTAAGCGATATTAGTGATGTGATTTCCAAAAGGGGCATGGCAGTTTCCTCCCGGGAGCGTCGCAGAACAGAGGATCCCTTTGGATCCTTGGCGACGATCACTTTTTGACTGACCCGGCCGATCTGTGGCTGCTCCTGCCTTGGCGATGAAGACTTGGCGATGGAGGCGCCGTCTTGATGGCTAGTAAGCAATGCAGGGGTTCTCTACTAGACTGTATCATCCTCACATGCCCGATGAGATCTAAGACGATGTCCATGGCACGAGGAGAGATGTTCCGCCTATACAGTATCTGCGTCCTTTGGTCCAAGATTGCGACTGTGCTTTATCGTCTCCCCCTGTCTGTCCTCTCAGATAAGCGGGAAGATGACTACGGGATTTCAACTGTGAATGGCTGCCACGGCTAACACGAGAGCAGTGGAGTCAAAGGCCACCTTCCTGTTCTGCCATAGTCTGGACCAAAACGATGCTTCTGCGACCGAGGAAGAAAAGTCCCAAGGTTAGCTGCTCACTGCTGGAAAGGAAGAACTCGTGACAAAGGAACTAGTTCAAGCTAATTTAGCGGGTATACAATGGGCGAAGACATGGTAGCTATTGACGGTGACTCTATTGGCGACATCTGGCTGGCGGAGTTGAACCATCGTCCAGGTACATCTGCTCCTTGATGCGAGATAGAACGAAAAGACGCAGGGGAGACTTGAGAAAGTCACCGTCTACCTGCATAATATGCAAGTTCTGTAGATCTGTAGTCGAAAACAAATTGCTCTGTATTGAGTAATACACCCTTCTCTGCACTTGGCCATGTTAGACTAAAAACTTGGCCCGTCTCAATACACCAAGATCCCGTAGCGTGTGCCTTGTCCCGCGTAGATCCGCACGCGGCAGATTTTCGCTCGGAAACGGAATATTCCATCATACTGTCATGAGCTGTGACTAAAACGTATGATGTATTATTTGATCAAATATTGTGTCCAGTCATTGATGACACTCAACGTTGCTGATTTACCTCGCCCACCCGCTCCAACATTTAGTCACCTACTGACGGAGGTTGCGGATCTCGGACATGGCGCGATTAGCTGGCCCATCAATAGGGAAAAGCACAAGCTTTACCGAACCTGACGACAGAAAGGGCGACAGCATTCAAATCCATGCGCGACGAGCCGAGAAGAGGCATCTTTTGTTGCGTGTGAGTGGACCCCAGCGAGGTCCCTTGCCCATGTCGCTGCCATTTCCTTTATTGCGATCTGGTAAGAAAGGTCGCATCCGAATCTCGGAAAAGAACAAGGCAACTATTTGGGCTGTCAAGATTGCTTCAGGCTTTTGACCGACCGCAGCGGAAGCGGGCCAAAGTCGGACTTTTGGCGGCATCAGCAAGGCAGCTTCGGATACGGGATGCCGCTGTCCTTGCCCTGCAGAGCGAGGGCTTGGTGGACAAGGTTTCGGGAAACCAAGGTTAATAGCATGAGAAAGTCGTCGAGGTAGAATTGGTACCACTTCGTCGAAGCACCAGAAACATGACCCAAAATGGCGGCTTGATCCAGCGATGACGTGTCATGGCCGTGCCTGCGCGAACATGGCGCAAGACATTCTGGTTGAAGAGTCAAGCCACGAGTAGAAAGGCGATAGCACATGCAAGCTGAGTGCCGAATTCAAAACATACAAGTCTTGCACCCATTGGCTGCGCTCTTGGGATTGTCTTGACCGCTCGCCATGAGGGCGCCTCCAACGGCTTGAACCACGGATCAGACAACGTCGACTGATACAAAGCCCTTGTTGGCCAGCCATGTGGCTCAGATACGCAAAACCTGCTTGGAACTGTCGAAAGGGTAAAGTAGTTTGGAGATGACCAGTATAATTGGGTAGTTTGAGTAGTTTTCGTACTACAATAGAAATGACGACTTGGAGCAAGTTCACACGGCTGTGCTGGTTTTTGCTGCGTGGCAAGGAAACTCCGTTCAGCCCTGTCGCTTGCAGTCTAATAAGCTGAGCACTTTCGAGAACGGGATGTTCCCCGCAATCAAGCAGATCAGAGTCCCAACTGGGACTATGCGCCATTTTGCTGGTACTTTGAGCGGTACGGGCGTGTTGGCGGCTTCTGCAGCGCTCTCCTTACATGTGTAAGTTGTATTGCCCCGGATGTGCCTCTGGGAAACCCCACACGGAAGTGCTCCGGGCGCTAATAAATGTGGGAAATTCTTGAAGGGCCCATCTTGCGCACTCCTATCTGGAACCTTGGTTGGTGGCGTGCTGTGGCTGCTCCTCTGATTGCGATCAGTCATGGGAACTTTGCCCCAGCCAGCATCGTGACTAACAGAGCAAGAAAAGTTCTTGAATTAGAGATTTAAATACAGCGGAATTTGAAAAAAAAAAAAAAAAAAAAAAAAAAAAGAAATAACCTTTCGTTGTTTGACAAGCTAGCTAGCATCTCATTATTTGGCCCAAGACCGGATTCAACGAGCAACAAGTTTGCAACGGGCTGTGAGAGAATGAAACAGTTGCCGAGCATTAGTACGTCACTTACTTTGTAGATAAATCTACCTGTACTTTGAATCGCTTCATTTCCCGATGAAGCCTCTTGCCCGTCTTTATTTGAGGTTGCTCGGCCGAGATTGTCACTGCACTGGGATTCGCACCCTGGAATTGTCTCGGAATGGATGTTCCCACAACATGCACTGGCAAGTCAAGCTTGTCAAGCCACTACTTTATTCGTCAAAACAGGCATTCATCACGAGGATCAGTGTGTGTGGGGTGGCGCAAAAGTTCCTATGTGCAGGCAGAAATTGCCCGGCATGTTGCATCGTTTCAATGCAGCAACTGCAAATAGCGTCGGCGCCACGGTGCAGGCAGCCGTTTGGCCGTATCTCGTAGCCTGATACCACCCTTCCCGACTGTCATGTACTCATGTTGCAAGATAATGTTGCTCTGCTTGCCCCTCTTTCATAAACCAGCCATCCGCATGCACCTCTACCAGCCCAATTTCCCATCTGCACATACTTCTTTCTTTGACATACTCACACCATACACTCGACATACTGCATCTAGTTACTGACGCGCCAACTGCAACATCATGCTCGTCTCCGTCTCTCAAATCCTAGTTGCCGTGGTCCTGGCGTCGGCCAACCTGGCTCTTGGTGCACCCAGTTGAGTCCCCTCGGACAATCTACCGCCTCCCGTTTTGCTTTTACCCTAACGCAGTGAGAACTAGCGAGTAACGAGCTGGCCGCTCCCGCTGGCATGGGTCACATTGAAGCTTATTCGGGATTCGATGCTTAGGTCTGAAATGGTGTGTGTACTGAGGGCGTCAGGGGCGCGCCAGTCAGACCAATCGCAGAAAGTGTGTCCGATAGGGAAAGAATCTATATAGAGCACAATCGGCAGTTTTGCTACTGTGCATGACAGAGAAGCGAGTGTGAGGCTCGGCGTCTGCGAGTTTTCAAAACCTAATTTTGCGCAAGGAACGATTGGGTGTCTCTCTTTCTGCAAAGTACTTTTGAAAAGCCACGGGCGGGAACGACTGCATAAAAAAGGTTCCTGGAATCGGAAGCTGGCAAGCAAGAAGAGCCTCAAAGTCCTGCATACGCGTATTGATTGAGAGCAAGAGAATCGAGTCCAGAACGGATGGGAGCAGCACAGACATGCCCCTTGCCAAAGTTCCCCAAGAAAGTGGGATCGACTTCAACAAGGCTGTGCGGCCCGTTGCCGATCCGTTGAGATGACTGCGGATGTATGGAGGAACTGATCCATTTCGTGACCCATGGCGCTGGTGACTGGTCACACATAAAACATGGAGCGACCGGTTCCCGCTCCTCATCTCCTTGTTGGACGTTCTATCCGTAGTTTGTATATATTCCTCTCTCTAGCTTGTATGCTCGCATTGCCGTCATGGCCAACTCCAGAGATGAAGCCTTTTGGGCCCCCATCGGGTCCATCTTTGACTTGACCCTGAAATTCGAGCAAATTATTTTTAGTCTGTCTTTCTCGTCTCTCGCAGTGGTTCTCTCCGTATTGTTATTTCGCCATTACTACCAAAACCCTGTGTACGCTCGCAGCGGGATGCTGCTAGGGGCAAAGCTTGTAAATATGTCTTTTGCTACCGACTCGGAACTCATTGCTGACGCATCTTTATCTAGGCCACGACTGGTGTCATTTTCGCTTCACAGATTGCTTCCCTAGTCCTTTGGGCAGTCGCGACTGGCCACCGCACAAACACGGCAATACCGGCCACGGCTATCGAGCTCTTGGCTGCTGCATGCTTAGCGGCCATCATTTACATCGAACATAGACATTCCATTCGGTCTTCAGCCTCTACTTCCATCTACCTGATACTCAGCCTAGCTTTTGAAGTATGCAGGAGCAGGTCATTTTTCCTGCGTCCAGGATTTACTGCCCTGGGTAGCATGGCGGCAGTAGCCGCTGGAATGAGGCTGATTTTGCTCGCTCTACAAGAGATATCAAAGAGATCTCTCCTTCTTGACGACGCTTTACGCCAAAATTGCGGATTTGAGACCACGAGCGGCTTCATTGGCAGAGTGCTGTTTCTTTTTCTGAAGCCCGTCTTTGCCACGGGATTCCGCGCGGAGCTCCTTTTGCGCCACTTGGATCAGCTAGATCCCGAGCTTTCTTCAGAAGTACTCTACCAAAAGCTTGAGCCACATTGGCAGCCTCATCGACTGAATCCTTCATCCAACGAGCTTCTTAAAGCGTGTTTCAAGGCCTGGAAAGACTGCGTCGGCGGACTGGTCTTTTCTAGACTTATTGTCACCGCGTTCAACTTTTCACAGCCATTTGTCCTGCGCCGTGTGATTAACCTGGTGGATAAGCCGCACCAGGATAACATGAAGGAACGCGGTGGCGTGCAAGCAGCCGCTACTTTCATGTTTATCGAAATTGCACTGTCACGCACAACGCATTTACATCTTATGAACCGCTTCGTCACACGGATGCGTGGAGGCCTTGTGACACTCATTATACACAAGGCGCACAGCATTACCGAGGAAGAAGCGAAACGCTCAGCAGCCGTCACACTCATGACCACCGATATCGATGGAATCACCACTGGTATACCGCAATGCCTGCAGATACCCATTGGTATTCTAGAAATTGTACTTGGCATGTACGTCCTGTCGCGGTTCATCGGCATCTCCGCATTTTCGGTATTCGGTCCTCTTGTTGCCAGTACCATTGTGGCGTATTTCGTCGCACGGAGTATGGCGACAAGGTTCTCGTCATGGAATAAAGATATCGAGCTTCGAGTCGCAAAAACGGCCAAAATTCTGCCACAAATCACTGCCATCAAGATGCTCGGCCTAGGGCCAACAGTGGCCACCTTTTTACAGTATCTTCGGGATCAGGAAATCGAATGTTCAAAAAGTTATCGCCGCCTGCAGGCACTAGGCATGGGTCCTGTTCTAATTGGTGATTTGATGACACCTGTGGTCGTTATTGCAGCAGCTCTATTTGGACCGGCCTTTCAAGGTCAAATGTCCGCTGCAGAGGTATTTCCCGTTTTGACAGTGGTGTCCATTATCCAAATACCACTACTGGCCGTGCTGGAAACCTTTTCAAGATGGGGAAACATGCTGGCGTGCTTCTCGCGCATCCAAAAGTTTCTGTGTCTTGCAGAGAAGAGAGATCCAAGGTCAATCACTGTGACAAGCTTGGCATCGTCTACCGAGAGCGTAGACGTCAGCCATGCTTCAACCTTGGTGCGATTTCGAAAGACTGACATTGCCCCGCTTGGAATGAAAGAGCCGTTGCTGCGCAAGGTCAATTTCAGCCTGACACCGGGTTCTACGACAGGCCTTGTTGGCCTCACAGGTGGTGGAAAGTCAACCATTGTGCAGGGGATACTTGGCCAGAGTGAGATCTTGGGAGGTTCCGTCTCTGTCAACACGGATGAAATTGGATACTGTGGCGAGAACGTATGGTTGCGGGACATTACGATTCGAGAAAACATCATCGGAGACTTGGAATTTAATCAAGCCAGGTTTACAAGCGTCATTAGAGCATGCTTTCTCGAAGAAGACCTACAGTGGCTGCCTGGTGGCGCAGACTACATTGTTGGCACGAATGGGTCAAATCTGAGTGGCGGTCAGCGACAGCGTGTCGGACTTGCGAGGACTGCCTATGCAGAACATCGAGTAACCATCCTCGACGATGCCTTTAGTTCTCTTGACCATGAAACTGCCGTCTGTATTCTCCATCAGCTGATTGGACGCAATGGCATATTTCCGCGAGCTGGATGCAGTGTCTTTGTGGTCACCCATCTTCCAGCGTGCTTGGATCTGGTTGACCAGCTGCTTGTACTGGAGGGATCCAGATGCAATGTTTTGAAAGAGCGACGACACATTGATGAATATCGTGGAAAACTCGATGTTGCCCTAACCACCCTCAATCACAATGTTGCCGTCGAAAAAGAACAAAGAGAACAGCGCGCGCTTCGCACATCTCTGGAGGGAAGAGCCGCTTCTGTCGCCTTTAATAACACCGCACTGCGCCAAAGAGGTGACATACGTCTCTATGGTCTCTTCATTCGGCCGATTGGCTGGTTGAAGATGGGGCTACATACCGCTCTTACCTCTTTGTATGCCACTGGAGAAGTTGTCCCGGAAATCTACCTCCGAATATGGATCGAAACCAATCCCGACAAGTCTGCATTTTTCATTGGCTATGCAGGTGTTGTGGTGGCCACTTGCGTTCTAGGTTGCTTGGTGTACTGGCTTCTATATGCAAAGTTGTCGCCTCGATCGTCCAGTCAGCTACACCAGAAGCTTGTCGATAGCACAATGGGATCAACCCTCAGGTTTCTTAGTACGACAAAGACGGGGACGCTATTGAATCGATACAGTCAAGACATGACCTTGTTGTCAAGGAATCTTCCCGCAGCACTCCTTAGAACCATTCACTGTGGTACCAATGCGATGATCCAGATCGGTATTGTCCTTGCCGGCGCAACTTACCTGGCTGTCTCTCTTCCAATTATTCTGATCATCTTATTCTTTATTCAGCGATACTACTTGCGCACATCCCGGCAAGTACGTCATCTGGACCTTGAGACGAAGGCTCCGCTGCACACGTTTTTTGAGGAAACAGCGACTGGCTTGACACACATTCAGGCTTTTCGCTGGCAGAACCAGAATATTCATCGGGGAATAATACTTCTAGAAGACTCCCAAAAGCCATTCTATGTCTTCTTGGCTATTCAACAATGGCTTGGTATGGTTCTTGGTCTTTTAGCCGCTGGTCTCGGTACTTCACTTGTGGCATTGGCGCTGTTCATGGAGCAAAGCTCATCCTCTTCATCGGTCGGTCTTTCCTTTATGGGACTCATCTATCTGAATCTCGCTCTTCAAAATACGCTAGTGGCCTGGACGGCGCTTGAAACGTCGTCTGGAGCATTGGCAAGACTGTCCCTGTTTGAGAAGGAAACGCCACAAGAGCCTCGACGGACTAGCGAGAAACTGCCCAAAGACTGGCCAGCAAAAGGCCAAGTCGAAATGAGAAACGTGTTTGCCAACTATACGCCCGAGGATGATGAGTCTTCATGTGCGCTCCGGGATGTGTCCGTGTCCATTCCGGCTGGGCGGCGAATTGGCATCATGGGCCGCAGCGGAAGCGGTAAAAGTTCTCTATTCCTAACGATGCTGGGTTTCATATCTTATGAGGGTGTGATTGAGATTGACGGTGTCGACATTGCTTCCATCTCGCTGGACGACTTGAGATGCCGCATCATTACCATAACCCAGGACCAGGTGCAATTCGATGCCACCATTCGCACCAATCTGCTACCATTTACAATGAATGATGGGCCTTGCAAAATGGATGAAAAGGCGATGAAGCGGGACATGGACCTCGAGCAGCTGCTCAAGAGCCTTCATATATGGATACCGCTGGCTAAAAAGGGAGGCCTGGACGCCAACCTCTATGATGTTGGCTACTCAAAAGGCCAGATGCAACTCTTGTGCATTGCCCGTGCGATTATGAGGCAGCGGGAGACGGGTAGTCGGCTGGTGTTGATTGATGAGGGCACAAGCAGTATTGACGAGCGCACCGAAAAGATTGTCAACAGAATCATGAAGGAAAACTTTGCTGGCTGTACAGTACTGACGATTGCGCACCGCTCGTCGGCTGTGGCAAATTATGATGGCCTCCTTCGACTAGACCGCGGAGCGACGGTAGATCCGGCCAGAGAGTCTGACTCTGAGTCTGCCGAGGAAGCAAATTGAGTTGTAGATGGTGAAAAAAAAGGAGCAATCTAGCCGCACAAGAAATTTAAAACCATCATTCCATTCGCAGTCGACTCATCCAGGCGAAATGATTAGGATATTCGTCTAGGAAAAGACGGATATATGTATGCCAATCGCTTGACCAGCCCCTGTGTGCGCAGACAGCAACGGCATACTCCCAATACACAGGGTACCATCCCGATGCTGCCCAGTCAACAATAGCAATGCGTCCATCGGGCTGCAGTATGATGTTCTTTGGTTGCAAGTCGGCATGGGTAAAAACAGGCTGGCCATTACCCTTGAATACTTTTGAAAGGACTTGTCGGTAATATGCGGCCTTGTGCCGTAGTCTGTCAGGATCTTCTGCCAAAAACCTGTCTGTCTAGTACGCCGTCGATGAGGGCCTCTTCTGTGTTGAATGGCGAGTCGATGGCTGGCATGGGTTCGTCGGCGACAAAACAAAAAATCTCGTAGCTTGGTCTTGTCTAGACTGCCAAAGAATCCATCATGGGGCAAGTCACGCAAGGAAATAAAAGTCTCTTTGAGCTGTTGAGAAATGGCTAATTTTTCCGTGGTATCGAATCCATCCCACAGCTTGTCGAGCGACTCGCCTGCGATCCTCTCCATGACGATGTATGTCTTTTGGTGTTTTCCATTCTCTAGAAAACGCTGGTATACGGCGTAGACTCGTGGAACGTATATGTTTGTATTTTGGCGAACAAATTTCATATTCTCTGCTTCGAGCGGTTCCACTGCATAGCCATACTTGACCGCGTAAGAGGTTCCCACACGGGCAATGCACCTAGACTGAAGTTTATGGATGGTTGGTGCATCTTCAATTGCTTCAATGGTGGTGGGCAAGGGTTCGGGGAGGCTGTCGTCTGGCTCGCTGAAAAGGATGTCGTAATGTAGCAACGAGGCAACCTGCGGTATTGATGGAGGAGGTATTGGAGATGGCATTACGGATGGGTCGTATATATGATCAGATATCACGTTTGATGACCGCAAAAAAGGGTCCAGAGGATACAGGGTTGGGTGGACGCAAGTCAACGTTGCAGCAATGCGCTGAGTCAGCCCAAAGCTACCTCTAACCTACCCACCTGTCAAAAGATGCAAGACTCAGTCACCCGATGTTTACAGCGCGCATGAGTCGCCTAGAAAATGACCTCTTCTACCTACCTTAGGTGTCAGAACCCCCTTGGCGATACCCCTGTATCCGAAGTACTTCGGATACAGTGACAGGGCTGGACACAGGGGTGTTAGATGACTGCTTGAAATTTGTACATGGATCCTTACTGTGTTTAGCAAGTTCGCTACTAAATCTAGCAAGGTCGCATTTTTATTATGCAGACTCATGTAGACCGAAAGCTGGTGAGTCAGTCCTAGAGCCTTTCCCAAATACTCAAGATCAGGGCATGAACTGGTCAGTGATTAGTAAATTTGTAGTGCCTCCCAAAGCTCATAATCAACTGTTGAGCTATGTAATTGAAAGATGAGCGCCAAGAGCATTGAACCTTGCAAAGCGAGCACAAGGCTCTTGTTTTCTTGTGCAAGCCGGCTGGAGTTGTCTGGCTTTGGGGGCTTTCTCGCTGCAGCATCACGCCTTTTTCTTGATTTTAGCACGCTTTTATTGAATTTCACTAGCACAGGCATAACCTGGGAGAAGAAGACATTATTTGAATCTGTAATAAATGACACTAGAAACTTCTCCTTGATATGTGGCAGTTTCGAACCCAGGCAGCAGCAACATCGCTGCTTTCTCGGCAGCATCGACGAGCTACCATTTGTTCACCATCGCAGCGCTTATGCGGTGAACTCGCGAGCGCAGAGCTGTCCGTTGCCATTGTTGCCGTTGTTTCCATTGTTGTTGTTGTTGTTGTTGTTGTTGCCGTTGCCGTTGTTGCCGTTGCCGTTGTTACCGTTGCCGTTGTTACCGTTTTGGTCGTTGAAGTTGCCACCTTGCTGGCCGCCCGCGCCACCCGCAGCAGCGCCGCCAAAGCCGCAGCCCTGCTTACCCTGCTCGTTGGCGACGGCGCGGGCGGAGCAGACGGCACCGTCTTGGAGGCCGGCGCAGCAGCCAGAGGCACAGTCGGCGTCGGAGAGGCAGCCACCGGTGATGAACTGCTTGCCCTGGCCGTTGCCGACGTTGGCGGCACCAGAGGGGTCACCGACAGCGAAGACGGAGACGGCGACTACGGTGAGTCTAGGTCAGTATATACGGGCATCATCGGAAGGGGAAGGTCGATGAGTGCGGAAAGAAGACAGAAGAAGGTAATGGCGTGTTCGTGTGTGTTGAGTCGGGTACGGGAGAGAAAACTAACAGGTGAGGAGAGCGGCGACAGCGATGCGGACCATGTTGGCGGTTGAGTAGTTGTTGTTTTAAAAAAGATTGGTTGAAAAGGGGTGTAAGTGAGTGACTACCAGGTCGATTGATTAATTTGAAAGGCGAACTGAAAGGGCGACACCAGGTCGAAGAGAATAAAGTTGCTTTGTGAAGAAAAGGAAGCGTTGAGCTGTGTGTGATGATGAGAATGAAGAAAAGGTAAACATGCTAGATGGGATGAGACGACTTTATTATACGTTTCTGCCATCCCGCTCCTCCCGCTCCTCCGTCGACTTGTCTCCTGTGTCATCCCATCTCGCTGATGAAGCACAGAGACAAGCGTTAAGGTGGCCGACGTAAACCTCCGAAACGAATGTGGAGAGAAAGCAAGGCAGCCATGCGACGAATAACTCGAGGCCCCTCGACGCCTCTTGACGCAGGAGACGGCTTGACGGAGCCCTCCGAGGGCAACGGTCCGCCAAAGACGGGCAGGTTTTACCCCGGTCAATATTTGTGCAGGACCAGATCGGGTCCGCACAGCCGAAGTCATGGGCCCGCTCAACTGTCACAATAAAACCTCCGGCTTGGCTTCGGCATTGTGGAACAGATGTGGAGTTGATTTTCTTTCTATAATGGGCCATCAACTATTATTTAGTTGGAACTTGCGCACCCTTCTTAGCTCTTGATTCCCGTGCGCGGGCATATAAGTGGCGGTCTGATTCGAGTTCCATCTGAGTCGTCCGTCTCTATCGTGAGCTGTCAGCCAAATCTGCCCCCAACACGCAAACAATTGCAACGTCACAAGATGCCTCCTTTTTTATTCATTTCTGTCGTTGATTACGAGCTAGTTACTAGCACTTTTTATATCAATCACGGCTCGTTTCCCCTTCCAGGCTAGCGTTGTCGTCACCAAGAGTGGCCGAGACGCAACCTGCGACAGCCGAGATGCGATATTCCGAGACGAGGCGCTCCGGGTTTCGGGTTTCCAAGGTGAGCGTCGTGCCGGAGCGAATGAGCAAGATTTTGAAATGTACAAGCAGACACATAAGATACGAGCGTAATAAAAAAGGATCAGTTACGAAACCGGCCCCCTGGTAATATAGTAGGTGGTAATATAGTAGGTGGTAATATAGTAGGTGGTAATATTATTCGTATTGTCCCTTGCTAGGATTACTAGGAGAGATCAACGTTTTTCTAGTCCTTTGACTGTGAATGAGAAGCAAGTTTCATGGGTGATATGGATAATGAATTCACCAAATCTTCAAGTAAAGAGTATCAACTGACTAGTTTTAACTGATGTCTATTATCCTGTAGACGTCTGCTTTCAGCAACATGGACCCTTAGTCCCACCTTTTTGGATGTAGCGTGGATATAACACGGGCAAAGAAAGGGCTGCGACGTATCAATCAAAATAGAAGTACATACGTATTTCTCCGTACTTTGGAGGCCTTAGCGAGGGAGTTTTTTCGAAACTTTAATAAAAAAAACAAGAAAAGAAGCAAAAAGGCCTCGAGTAAGTTTACCAAGAGCTCATGATTCTTCCGTCTTTTATATTACATGTTTTAATAATGTTACAGAGCCCGGATTAATTTGTGGTGTGCCTATAACTAGGTAGCCTTGCCAGGCGTGCCAGGTCAACCAAAACGAAGCGCCCCACACCGGGCTATCGTCATCGGGGCGCCAGGCTTGTTGAGCTACCAAGTAACTGTATACCTTAGGTACCTAGTTAGGTACGCTCAAAAAAAGGACGCGCCACATCTTTGTAGCGCCTTCCTACTGTATACCCCCCCTATATCACAACAAGGCTGACCCGCCTCGCCGCCACCCCTCCCCTGAATCTCACCATCTAAGCTTTCCAGCGCTGCGGCGCAGCAATGTCTCCAAGTTTCAGCTTTGGCCGTTTTCAATCACTTTCTCTCTCCTTTCATCAAAACACATGAGACCGCCTTCTTTCCTTCTCCATGGCACATCATCTCCCGTCACTCTTTTTCCCACCATCCACGCAGCCAACGTAGCGGGCGAATCGACTTTTCGACCTTTGCCCCGCCCACAGTAACACCCACCCCCCGACGACCAATGGCGCTTCGTGGTGATCCCGAGCTCGACGAGAGCGCGACTCGTCTGCTGACGCCTGAAGAAGCCGCCGCCGCCGCCGCCACCACCACAGCAGCAGTAGCAGAAGATGGATCTGCAACTACGACGCCGTTTCGACCACGTATACGTGCGGCGCGGTGGCAGGTCCGCTCGCCGCGCCACATCATCCTGCTCGTCTCCTTTGCCAAGTTTTGCATCGTCTGTAGCGGCCTAATGCTGATGGTGCCCATGTTTCGACTCATCGAGGATGCCATCTGCCACGGCGTCCTCGACGATGCGTCGCCAGGGCTGCTCGATGAGATGACGTGCAAGGACGACGACGTGCAAGCGCGCCTGGCCACGTTTATGGGCTGGTCTGGCCTCGTGAATTCCATAGTTAGTGAGTTGCTTCTTTTTATTTTTATACATTTACGGATATATCAAGTCTGAATGTGTCCATTTATACCCGTCGTGTGTGTGTGTGTGTGTGTGTGTGTGACTGGGGTTTCATGTTACTGACTTAATAATACGCACATCAAAGCCCTCATCACCGCGTTCCCATTCGGCGCCATGTCGGATCGCTTTGGGCGCAAGCCTACCGCCCTGCTCGCCTACCTCGGCCTTTCTGCCTCCTTCTTCGTCACGCCCGTGATGCTCGGCCCGCCGCTGCGGCAGAGCGTCCGCGCCAACCCGTATTTGCTCCTCTGGGGCAGCCTGTTCCAGGTCGCCGGCGGCGGCATCCCGGTGCTGCTACAGACGCTGTACGCCATTGCCGCCGACGTGAGCTCCGAAGAGGAAAAGTCTGTGGCCTCCCTTTCTTTCTCGTTCTCCTCCTCTCTCTCTTTCTCTCTCTCTTCATGCCAAATTTTCTCACTTACGGTTCTTTTTTGTCCAGATCAACCAATTTTCTCTACGTCAGTCTCGGCTCCGCAACGGGGGGGCTCCTCGGCCCGCTCCTCGCCGGCGTGCTCATGACAAAGTTTGGCCCGTGGGTGCCCATCTGGATCGTCATTGGCATCTCCCCCAGCCTCATCCTGCTCCTTCTCATTGTCCCCGAAACTCTTGCCGTCAAGACCAAATCATCCCCCTCTTCCTCTTCCTCCTCCTCCTTGCACACGCACCTCGCGCGCGGCCTCGCCGACCTCCGCGCCTCGCTCTCCATGCTGCGCAACCCCAACGTCCCCCTCATCCTCGTCACCTTTCTCTTCCAAAACGCGCGCATGACCGCCTACGCCTCCACCCTCGTCCAGTACGTCTCCAAAAACTACGGCTGGACCCTCGGCCAGACCTCGATCCTCCTCTCTCCGCTCGGCGTCCTCGCCCTCGTCGTCCTCGGTACCCTGCCGCACCTCGCTGCCCGCCTCACCGCCGGCAGCTACTACACCGTCTTCGCCAAGGACCTGCTCCTGACGCGCGGCTCGACTGCCTGCCTTGTCCTCGGCGCCGCCATTCAGGCCTTTAGCCCCAACATTGCGGTTTTCGTTTTTGGTCTCGTTGTCGGCACCCTCGGTGCGGCTGACACCCCGCTCGCCAGGGCGACCGTCTCGCACTACGTTCATGCCAGCTTCACCTCCCGCCTGTACGCCCTCATCGGCGCCGCCGAGGTGCTGGGATCCTTTGTGGGCGCGCCGGTGCTGGCGTGGCTGTTTAATGTCGGGCTCGAGAAGAAGGGGCTGTACACGGGGCTGCCGTACTTTTACATTGCGATCCTGTCATCCATCTCGCTGTTGGCGCTCATGTTTGTAAGGCCGCCGCCGCGAAAGGCAGCAGAGGGCGACGTGACACCTGAAAGCGAGGGGTCGCCTGGCGAGGGCGCCATACGACTTTAATATATACAGCATTATAGTAAGCATCATGAGAAGCATCTAGACAAATGGGCGCAACGCTCGTTGTAGTTTGAAATTGAAAGATTAATAAATAGGCGATTTTTTGTTACACTGTGCAACCGCTAAGCTATGCATACTATTATACACCATGTTGTTTCTTGATTCATGTTCGTCATGTATCGTGCTACTCTTAGTGCAGCATGTAGGACAAGTCCGGCAGACTTTTCAGCGCCTCGTCTACGTCAGTCTTTTCGTCTACTGCAAACGTATCCGTGGCCGACACCGACTTGTCCAATGATGGCTTCGCAGATGTGCCCGACGGCGTCGTCGCGCCCACCGCCCCGACGACCTTGAGCGTCCATGGTGTCTCCATAAACGCGCTGTTATTCGTAGCCGGCGTGGCCGTCCACGCATGTTCCGTCGACAGCCTGTGCTCCGTCGTCGTCGTCGGCGTCGACGCGGCCGGTGTCCAGATATGCTCCGCAGATACCCTGTTGCTGCTCGTCGACGCACGCGGCGTTTCCAGGGCGGGTGTGGACGCACCATGGACAACGGCCGGCTTTTCTCGCGATCCACTGTCCGCGGATACGCGGGTGGTGGTGGGTGCGAGAGGCGCCGGCGAGTTCAGAGTGGACGTCCACGTTGGCGACGACGACGACGGAGCTGCCACCGAGCTGCCGAGGCCGGTTATGCCAGCGGTGTGGATTGGCGGCGGCGGGTCCGACCGCACCGACTTTGCCGCCGAGGACTCGACGAAACCGAGGCCGTTCAAGGCCGCCTCGGAGGACGGCTGCTGCGGCGTTGTTGCCACGGGAGCGGATAAGGAGGGAAATGTCGTGCTCTCATTGACTGTCGGCGATGAAACCATTTCACCCCAATCATCATCGTCGTCGTCGTTGTCGTCATCATTGTCGTTCCCGGACTCGCCCTCTTTTGCGGACTCGTCTTGCGCTGGCGCTGGCTCGCTGATACTCTCCCGCCAAGCATCAGCTTCAGCCGGCCTCGGGGGAGGTGGCATGGCTTCGAGCGAGCTTCTCTGCTTGCTCGGCGGCTCATCATTATCATCCCACGGCGATCTCGACATTTCTGCCAGCGGCCGCACCCCCGCCGTCTCCATCATCTGCGTCTTCTCCCGCACCCCATCCTCCCCTCGCTCCGCCATGTTGCTGCCCTTGCTGTCCGCATGCCCGCTCCGCTGCTGCTGCCGCCGCCGCAGCAGCAGTTCTCCAATCTCAACCTGCGGCGCGCCGTCGTCCCACCCAAACATGCTCGCCCCCAGCGGGCCGCCCGCCTTCCTGCCGCCCCCCAGCACGACGCGGCCCGCAATCGAGTCCTGCTCCATCCAGCGACGCACAATGTCCAGCGTCTTGGTGCGAATGTCCGACGAGGGCCAGGCGACGCGCCGGTAGGTGGCCTCATCGTCACCATTGTCGTGGAAGCGCACGGAGCCGAGCCGAGAGACGCGGTACCAGGTCTTGCGCTCCGAGGTGGTGGTGAAGGGGGTGGAGCGGAGGATGGTGTCAGGGACGGACGCGGGAGGGGTGTCGGAAGGGGGGTTGCTGCCGGGGAATAAGGCGTCGAGATGGGAGAGGTCGATAGGGTAGAGCTCATGCTGGATGTTGGGTTGCGTGATAGCGAGGTGTGGCTGCTGCGGGTTTAGTTGTTCATTGCTGGTGGTATCGTGCGCGGTATTTGCTGGCGCAGATTCCCTTTGCTCGTTCGCTATACCGTCATTCAATGAGGGAGCCTTTTCTATCAGATCAAGTTCTTTAGTTGTGGAGGGCTGCACGTCAGCGACAATTGCTGTGGCTCCCTGGTTCTCGACATAATCGTCATCCTTGGCAACGCCAGAAACGTCAACGCCGATATGATGTTGGCGAAAGACATCCTCTGGAGATGCCTCTGCTGACTCTGCCGACCTCGACTCTCGCATGACCGGCTCTGCTGCTGGCCGCGCCGCCTCCTTCGCTATCCCGTCATACATGTTGACGAGCTCCTGCACCTTGGACGCCTTTTGCTGCTGCTGCGATTGCCAATCCAACGTTGAACCTCCCAGCTCCTCCTCCTCCTCCTCCTCTTCCTCCTCCCTGGCAACTCCCTTCACCTGTTCTGTTTCTTCTTCTTCTTTCGCGCGCACCAGCTCCTCATCCGGCGCCGCCGCTATCACAGCATCCTTCTCCCGCGGCGCCGTCCACGCATCCTGCTCGTCCTCCAGCAGCCTCGTCGCCTTGCTCTCCATCCTTTCCACCGTCCGCACGCCAAGACCCGCCGCCGCCGCCGAGTCAGGCACATTCCCGTCCTTGTCGTCGTCCACCTCCTCCCGAATTCCCCACGGCGTCGCGAGCCCATCTGCCGGCTCCCCCAGCGGCGCTATTCTTGCGTCCCACGCAATTTGCTTGCCGTCGTCCCAGCCGCCCCAGCCATTTTCATTATCATCCTCATCCTCATCCCCATGATCGCCGCCATTATATTGCCGCGGCGCCACCTCACCCCAGGAAGAGGAACGCTCAAAGCCCTCGCGCGCTGGTGGTAGCCCGGGCGACGCGGAGGGGTCATCTACCGCCCACGGCGTGCTCCACGGGTCTTCCATGGTTATAATTGACGGTTTCTCATTTCATACCCCCCTCCTCCAGGTAAATTATAATCGTACGTGTGGTCTTTAAAATCGTATCGTGGATTCGTTCATGGTCGAGCACAGTTGTCGCGCGCGTCGTTTGTGAGAAACAAGGGATTCGATTGAGGCAAAGAATAAAAAGACTTGGCCAAAAACTCCTGGGCATGGAGCAACAAGTTGTAAGCTGGGGGACTCGCCAATCCCTCGTGGTTGCGTCGAGTGTCGAAAGACCAACGATTAAGCCGTGCTTAGAAAGAGTTGCTACTTATCAGAGATGATGGGTGGATTGGAAGCCAAAGTTCTGGGACTCGGGAGGGAAGCCCCCTGCAGGACGGCCCCGCTGGCCAAGACAAGCGGGTAGCTGGGATGACGTCGAAGCACAGCAATCATTATCTTATTGTATCATCCCAGCACACCAACAGCTTTCATTTATTTCTTCGCAAAACTTTCGGTCATACTGATTAAGGCGCAATGGCCTACATTTCTACTGTTTATTGGGAGTCAACGTCTAGACACCATTTCTGATGTGCCAAACCGCGCCTAGAACACATTTCCATGCATATATGCAGCTGTCACAGAAGAGAAAAACAAATTGTTTTTGCCTTGGTCATATTCACGTGAGCGATATATACAGCGCCATTCGGGCGGCAGAGGTTCAAACCAGTGTCATGAAAGCAAAGTCGAAATGCGCCGCGCTAATGTAAATCCCTTGTGTATGCAGGTTTGGACAGCATGCCAATGCTATCATGTAGTAATCTCATGTCCAGGCTTTAGGTCCCACTCATTCATCTTGCCCGCCTTCTTCTTCTCAGCAACAAGCTCCAGTGTATTCTTCACCTCTGTGCGAGATGCCCTGTCACGGAATTGCTGAAAAATGAAATCAATGATGCCAACCTTCGAGAGAGCCTTGTTTTGTAAAATGGCCCTTTTGACGTCATTCATTATCTCAGGCTTGACGATTTTGACAGGCGCGCTCTCAGTACTGGAGGCATTGAGAGCAGCAAAGGCATTGGCGGGTGTTGGGGGAGGCGGCATCTTTTCAGCTGTCGATGTTGTGACTGTCATTACGGGGGCTGCTTTGGGCTCTGGCTGCCAATATGACGTCGCAAAAGGATCAATACTGGCGTTCTTGTGAAATATGTCTAGAGAAGGTCAGTACAAGCCAAGTCACAGTAAAATCCCAATACTTACCCAGAATGATCTCCATCTTGTAACATGTAGCGGCTTGGCTGGATGTCTTGCGGTTCTCATTCTCGAAACAGATGCCGGTAGATTCAGGCTCCATGGTGTTTCCGAATGTGCGACGCGTGAGACCCGCGTCTTCAGAATCGTCGAGGAACCCATCCATGTCGTCTTCGTCGTCCACTTCCTCATCGTCGTCATCGGCATCCAGGTCTTCACCCTCTTCTTCCTGCCACTCGGCTTCTGAGTCGTAATCATAGTCCAGCTGCAGACGCCGGGTAGCGGAGCGACGAGCGACTCTCTTCATATTGCCCTGACCTAGAGCAAACGGCGTACGGGTAACGGTACCGTAATATGGTGGTCGGACATCTTGCGAAAAGGCAATAACTTTGACTGGAATACCAGCGAGCTTCTTTTTGGCAGCTTCCAGAAGATCCGGCGCCGCGGTAGTACCCGAGCGTTCCATTTCTTTGTGTTCCGCTTCCATGATTTGACGAACTTGTTGGTGCTGTTTCCCACGGGGTTTGCTCGCGCCGGGCAGCGCAAAAAGAGATACCGGATTAAACGTTACATCGGCCTTACGCTCTCCTAGAATGAACTCGTCCAGTATTCTTGACTTTGATTCGCGAGTCTCCTCATCCATATTACCGATGGTGGAAGCCATTTTGGTGTGTTTTCTGACAAAGAACGGATTGAACATTTTGCTGTATGCTGTTACTCTCGTCGTATTGTCGGGCGAATCGATAGCACCCTTTGCCGGACTCGAGTTCAAATGGTTGGTAGGGGCAGTCTTCTTGGGTGTACTCGGAGGCCCGAAGAAACTCATCAATTTGGGCTGGGCGCGAGCCTTCTTTTCCTTTTCCTCCTCTTTGCGTCTCTCCTCTTCCTCCTTTTGCTTCTTTTTTTCCTCGCGCTGTTCTGCCTTCAACCTTTCCTCCTCTTCCTTCTTCTTGCGCTTCTCCTCTCTCTCCCTCTGACGGGCAACCTTTTCTTCCTCTTGCCGGGCCTTTTCAGCAGCCTTTAGGGCGGCTTTCTCGTCGCGCTCTTGCTTCTTTTGAGCGGCCTCGCGCTCTTTCTGCTCCTTCTTTCCATTGACTTCCTTTTCGCGAGCCTCCTTTTCGGTCGCGCTCAGCTTCTTGCGCTTCGCAGCAGGGTTGGATGCTTGTGCGGCGCAAGCAGGCTGTGCGTCACCAGCCTTGGTAGGTGTGTCGGGTGAGGGGGGGTTGCAGGCAGCCGTGCTGCTACCGGCTTCTGTAAGTGTAGGGGACCCTTGCGGCGAAGAAGCGACGACGTTGTTCGAGATGAACGACAAAACTGCAGTACTGTTAGCAGGTGGTGCAACGCACAGAGTTGAAGCTGTCTAACGAGCATTGCCTGACGGCTGGAGACCCTGCTTGGAAGGCGTCTTTTCGTCCTTTGGCCCATCTTCTCCCGCCTCATCGCCAGAGAACTGCTCATGGTTGCGCTTGCGGGCCGGGTTGGGCTCCTGCACATTGGCCGACATTTCGAAGAGCGGCATCGAGTGTGTCCGGAGTTGGTGTGGTTGAAACTGCCAGCGTCGTCGTACGAGTCAATAATTCGAGAGTCGGGTATGTTCAAAATGTGATGTCAAAGTGAGCGGCGTGATTGCACGTCCTTTCTATGCTCTTTGCAGCGAACACGATCCCAGCACCACCATCAGTGTACAAGATGTATCTGGGCCGCACGTAGATGAATAGCAAAACCGAGTCACGTCAAAGTCAATTTAGCAAAGGAAAATATCGAAAAGAGTCGCAGTGTGCCAAGAATTGGGGAGTGTCGGGGCGAGATAGACGAGGACGCTTGGTGCGTTAGGGGAGGGAGGAAGCGGAAGGTGAACGCGTGCCAGTTGGCGAGAGGTGCCCTGGGCCGCCGGCCAGGATCGCACCTCGACGCGTCCCTGCTCAGGAAGTGGGCTTGAGACGCGCTGACTGCAGTGGCAGGTACGTAACTATTCATTAAACCGCCAAAGTGGTTTTCTTAGTCATCAGGGTCTAAAGGTACAAGATAAAGTGGGGAAATTCGACTATCGACCAATTCCCAATTCGCTTCAGGTTGCCCACGAATTGTGCTCCCCTGCCCTCTTTATTAGTGTAACAGGTTCGTTTTCAGTGCGGCTTCCGTGTGAAAGGAGAAGAGGGCAATGCCGTATAGACTAGATGGCGGCTTGGCTGTCGTCACTCGTGACGTGACCCGAGTGCCGCCGACCGCAGCGCTTCCGGGCGCACCAATGCGCCGAATTTTCACAAAACCGCCCAACACGACCAACGAGGACCATGCCCTACTGTAGACTTTCTCATCTCTAAGACCGAGTTTTCGTATTATCTTATGGCATCGAACCTCGAACATGCTGGTTAGGGCGCTTTGGGGCTGCTGACCGCTACGTCATAATAAGGGACACTTGCAAATACGAGAGAAGCTAATCCGTAGGCGGATCCGTAATCTCGAGCTCCAAATGCGGCAGTAAACGGCGAAAAAACGACAACGGTTGTGATTGGGGTCTCAGGCTTCAAACGACGCGAAAGTCTGTTGAGAGAAAAAATTTGATTCGCCAATCCCTTTTTGCTCACCCTCCACATCATTAACAGGATTCGGTAGCGATTCTGCCTCCTGGTTTAAGCCAAATGAAGCGAAAGCTGATGGGGCTATTAAAACAAAGCAAAGCAGCGAGCCGTCTCTTTCGAGGCAACAAAAGATCTGTGTGTGTGTTTCAATTCCAATGCAAGAAATCAAATAGGGTGACAATTGATATCATCCGAGTGCCCTAAAAACAAAACCAAACGCCGTGTATGCAACAGACTGCACCTCCCCTTTCCATTGGTATGCGTAAAACGATTGATGCGACTTTTGTGCTGATATTATTAACGAAAGGCGTGGTTGTAGAAAACAAGATCTGAATAAGAGTAGAAAGCTGTTGACCGATCGTAAGCCGTGGCCATATCGAAAAGGGATTCGAGGATTAATCGGGGTTGGCGATGAAGAGGCGGCCAGAGGTGAGAGTAGATGTTCGCTCGTCAACACTTCCGCGACGCTTAAGCTCCTCGGGACTCTTGACGCTCTTTTCTCTCGTGAGAGCCGAGTGCAGCTTCGAGTTGTGCGCCGACTTAGGGCCCTGACCGAGTTCGAGAACATCATCGCGACGCTCACTGTTGCCACTTCGAGAGCTTTGCGCACGTCCGCTTGCTGCATCATCTGTCGGTCCGGCCGATTCGTCGATGGGCTGCTTTTGCTGATGCGTCTTGGTGGTGACAAAGCTTTCGGTGCGTTCAGGGGTATCGGCCAGGCTGGGGTTGCGGGCAGGGGTGCCGCTCCCCGAGGACCTGTACTGTGGCTGGCGACCAGAGCCGGTGCTGCTGCGTCCGCTGCTGCCAGCGCGGCGGTGATGCTGTTCCTTGCGCGAGGCCATCATGGGCCCGGTATTGTCGTCGTCGTCGCTGCCGTCGCCGTCAATTTCCCTAGCGCTGAGGCGAAGTGGGACACCACCGACACCGACGTGCGTCTCTCCAGGAGCATAGCCTACGACGGGAGCCTTGCCGTGTCGAATCTTGCCGGCGACCTTGGCTGATGCAAGGCCCGTCTGGGTGCGGCCCGGGTTGTTGCCGCTGACGACCTCGAGATTGGCCCTCATCTTGGCAGCACGCTGCTGGGCGACGAGGCGGGGATCCTCGTACTGGGCGCGGTCGCACCATACGGTGGCTTTTTGCTTGCGGAGGAGAGCGACGTAGCTGCTGCCGCCGCCCTGGGTTCCGACGGAGCGACTCGAGATGGAACGACGAAGATCGCTGGTTGAGGTACGGTAGGCGGCTGGGGGTGCCTGTTGAAAGCTCGAAGCGTTGCTAAAACCACCGATGGAAGGCGACCTGCGCCATAATTGAGGGTTGGAGGTCGAGTGCGACGACGGCTGTTGAGCGTGATACTGCGGATTTGAATGCATCGGGTGGTGGTGTTGGTGAGCGTGATGATTAGGATGGAGCTGATGCTGGTGCTGGTGGTGATGCTGGCTGTACGGTTGCTGAGGAGGGTTTTGGTGCTGAGGATACTGCTGTTGATGGTACTGCCGTTGTTGAGGTTGTTGAGGTTGTTGAGGTTGTTGCGAGGGAAAGACGGAGGAGGAGGTGGTTCGTGTGCGAGAATGGCCGTAGGAAGGATCCATTGAGGGCGTGCGTGTCGAAGCCTCTATCATTGTGAGGTAAAAGGTTTGACGGCTCAGCAAGCTGGTTGCCGCTAAGGTTGTTTCAAGGCTGAATTGTGATTTTTTAGAGTTTTGGCCGTCCTTTGTCCCGGGCTGAGAGCAAAGGAAAAGAGGAAGAGGAGGGCAGGGCCGGGTGGAGGAGGGTGGTGGAGGTTATGATGGTTTTTTGAGTTTGGGGGGCAGCGCTACTGTGTCGGGCTAAAACCAAGGCAGAACTGGACGAGCAGTGAGTGGCAGAGGCCCCGGCCGAGAGCACGTTTTTTTTTTTCCTTCGCTTTCGGCCGTTTTTTCCTTTGGCGTCGAGTGAGGAGGAGATGGTTAGCGTTGGCGTGGCAGGTGGTAACTAGTTACTGAAGAATTGAGAGGCGAGGGAAAGAGAGGGAGGGGGAGACGAGCGAAATGGGATTGGACGGCGAGGATGAGCAAAAGCGCGAAAGAGGAAAAGAGGAAGTAACGAAAAGAGCAACAGCGCAAAAGTGCAGAAGAGGCTAGATGGGTTTCTGGTGCTGGGGCAAGCAAAATCGCCTGTGCGCCGAAATTGGCAGGGCAAATGGCGCTGTAGACCCAGAGGCCAAGGACGAAAGCAGCCTGTATTTAGTTAGGTACCCAATGGTGAACCAGGAGGGGACAAGATTGGATGATCCCTTGCTTGCTCAACTATTTAAAAATGGCGCCCTTTTATCTAGGAATAACGATGATTTTTTCTGGGCTTTTTGTTCTTCTGAGGATGAACCGTCAATTCGAATTGTAGCGAATTCAATGCACTGTTAGAGATGCCTTGCGGCTATCAACACCAGACAGAGCTAGAGTCAGAGACATAACTATTGATGCAGTCTGCGACCGAGAGGAGCCTTGTCCCTGTGCAGGATAGAGCTGATCCCAGACGGATAATACAGCGAGGCCCCAAAAAGTTGCCCAAAGAGGTTGATGCATCGACACTGCAGCAGCAAGCTCAGCTGGACGTGGTTGCAGCAGCTCGTGTGGGGGATGTGATTGGCCAGAATGATTGTGGAGAACGGATTACAGGCTTGGTCCGGGGCTGATGATTTATGCAGACGAGCCAGCGGGAAGGGGGACTAAGTGCAGCTTGCAGAAAGAAAGAAAGAAAGAAAAAGTAAAAAGAAAAAAAAATCTGCAGCATGTCAATCAAGACAAAAGTGCTGTGCAACCTGTGAATCTGCAGCGCAACGCTGTCGTGAGATGATGAATTGTCCCAGAAGAAACGTCCATCTAGGTGCCCAAAGTCAATCAGCGGGGTGGATAGAAAGCGCTACCAAGCCACGTCGACGCCCCGTGCCCGTTGAAACAGCCCATAGCAAGCCGCCAGCCGCCAGCCACCAATCGTCATTTTCCCTCTTCATCTGTGTGGCTGTCTGTCTCACCAGCCACAAATTCACAAAACGGGCCGGCCTTATCTCGGTAGCCCCAAAACGGAAACGGAAATTCAAACGGCGCCAATTCCCGCCCTAGGAGACGACGTTTCTTTTGCAAACGTCTACATTTTTCTTTCTTCATCTCGTGGCCCGTCGCTCAATCTATTGGACACCCGTTTCGTCAATTCATTGCAGAAAAACTCTGCGTACATCCTCTGCGGCGCAACTTCTCCGGGTGTTCCCTCTATCCGTCCGTGTGGGCTTCTTTGATTCCACAACAGGCAAGCAATTTGCGCCCATTGCGTCACACTTGGCACCACGACCGCTATTTACTGCGGCATCTTAATCTACTTTTTTTACAAGAAAAACTTGTGATATGCACCATTTCTCGACACCAACAAACAATAGTTCTTCCCTCTGGCCCCACCCCGCGCGCAACCAGAGATCGTGCCTACGGCTGTGCCATCGCCAACATCAACAGCCTGCGTGGGCTGACCGTGACAACCCCCCCGCTCCACTCCCGTAGTTTGCCGACGCATGGTGCGTTGCAGCATGCAAATTCATCTTTTCCTCTTTTTTTGTGAGAGCCTCTTCTTTTCTTCGCCATTCTAATATTTAGTCTCCATTAGCCTATGTATTGCTGGTTTCTACCAGAATTTTGCACTCTTCAGAGCTCTCGAGTCAGGCGCAATCTACACAATACCCCAGCGTGCCCCCCCACCAGCCTTCTCCAGCTGAATGGCGGCCCAGAAATCGCATCATGGCACGCAATGGTGTATCATGCGCTTTGCCCACACCATCCCAATCCCCCACCTCATTTTGCCGATTCAGCTTGTCAGTACTTGAAACCCCATCCATTGTAAACTCTGGTGGGGTATCGAGCACTTGGTTCGGCAGCTCGCTTTACCGCAGCCTTGAAGGCAGCCGAGTCTAATAAGCGAGCCTTGAGCTGCATATCTGGTGCGCGAAAAAAAAAAAAAAGAGCAAGTTGAAAAGTAAGACTAGTTACAACGGTTGGCAGAACAAGGCCAAGCTTTTCGGGGCTTATCGCACGTAGATTGATCTACCTCTGACGCTATCGCGATTAAGCATCATCACTAGCTTTCCTTGCCACCCTCAACATGCGACATGAGCACGTACCTTCTTACCTCTTACATATACAGTTTCGCTCGAAATACTTTTGCTTCTTTGAGTCATTGAAAATTCAACGATTGCGGTGGTACCGAATAGTAGCAATCTAGGTGAAAATGCGATGCGTCAGGTAAAAAGCACGGGGAAAACAGCTATTCCCATTTCAAATCAATCAAATTGTGCCTATGACTATGTACCATCTTTAAGTTGCAAGAACCCTTCAACAGACGGTAAAATGCTGTGCATTATTATACTTTAAATGCATTAGTCCTGTCAGTCAATGTTTATAGGAAGCCAAAGCGCATCTATGAACAACCGATTCCAACCCTCATGCGACTGCAATCAAAGCCGTAGCTCATCTCCTAGATGCCATCATCATATTGATCCTGCTGTACCGAAGCTTCTTCCGTGTACGCCGTCCACGCCGCGCACGTACTGTTCAAGAACTCATAGTCCATCAGCTCCCGCGCCTCCTCTTGCCGCTCGACAAACTGCAGCGCCAGGCCCATGTTGGTGTGCCACCCAATATGGCAGTGCATCAGCCACGCGCCCGGGTTGTCCGTCTTGAACGCGAGCACCAGGTAGCCCGAGCCGTCCAGCATGGCCACGTCGCGCCGCGCCGGGTTCGTCAAGCTGAGCAGATCGCTGCTCGCATTGTACGTGCCGACGCCCTGGCCGAGAATGGCAAAGTCGTGCCCGTGCAGATGGATCGGGTGCGCCGCCGCGTTCTCCGCCTGCACGATCAGATAGGCCCACTGGTCCGCCTCGTCGAGCTGCACGGCGTGAATGTCGGTGCTGTAGATTGTCGCGTTGTTATACATCTGCAAGACGGTCGGGTCCTCCCACGCCGCGGAGAAGGAGGTGCCGTTGAGCGTCCACAGAATAACGTCGGAGACGGCGCGGATGTTGACGTTTTCGAGGTCCGAGTAGTGCTGGGTGCTGGCGGCGACGGCCACGTGCGGCACGAGGCTGGACACGGGCTCGTCGACGCAGGCGTCGGTATAGTCGTAGCCGATAGTGGTGGGAGTCGAGGGTGAACTACCGTAGTAGATGATGCCGCGTATGTCGTCCGCGTTGGCGCTGTTCGAGCAGGCGACTTGGGGAATGGCGCGCATCCAAAAGTTGCTGGCGACGGACTGTTGGTCGGCCGTCACAACAACATCGTATCTTTGGCCTAGAGAAAGGGTTAATATCGTCACACTAGTGTCAAAGACCTCTGGCAGTACTTACCCATGGCGATGTTAAGAACCGTAGTATCATATGGCGTGATAGGAACAAAGTCGGCCGCAATGACCGTCATGGTATGGTTGTCAATGGAAAATTTAAAGTGCGTGTCAATAGCACCATTAATCAGTCTCAGCCGGTATGACTCGCCCGAGGTAAACGACGTGTTGAACCTGTGTCCAACAATGGTTCCGCTGTTGTTCCATGTATTTGTACCGTTGATGAGTCCCGTATCCAGCTGAGGAGGTCCCTGAGTGAGGGCCGAATGATACAGCGAATCCACCGTCTCATGGCTCCAGTCAGACAACAGAATAGTTCCCTTATCCACGTCATAGTTGGCTGTAGCTGGTCCATTGATGAGAATGGCACCAAAGACTCCCTCCCAGGCCTGTAGCCCAATGTGTGAATGGTACCACGACGACCCGTACTGGGTGGCTCTCCACCTGTAAGTCATGGACTCGCCCGGCGCGAGAGGGCATTGTGTAATGGACGTGACACCATCCATTTCATTGGTGTAATTCTGTCGAATGCCGTGAAAATGGATTGATGTGCCATTTTTTGCATTGAAGAGGCTGTTGGTCACATGTATGACGACGTTGTCTCCCCAATCGGCCACAATGGTCGGGCCCGGAACGCTGCCGTTGATGGCGTACACGGTGCGCTCGAAGCCATCGGGAGCCGCAGTTAGCTCTTCGACATTAAAGTAGTACTCTCTGGTGTTTCCAGTGTTGGGAACCTCATCATAGTAGTTGGTGTCAATGCTAAAGTCGCACCACTGCGATCTTGTCGTGGCCGTGTTGCCAGAACATGCCGCTCGCCGACCAACAGTGCTGCCTTGAGCTACAGCAGCAAGCCAGCCTGTGAGGGAGAGAAAAAACTTCATTGGATGTGCTGGAGCAATGTAGTATAATGGAATGAGGTGGGGCTTTGAAACGAGAGCCTAAAGTATAGGCCTTGTCTGTAGACTTGACAGAATCGCTGTGGCTTGAGACAAATGGAAGTCAGACATGTCATTATATATATCATTTTTACAGCAAAAGAGTTATGGTACTTTCAAAACCATACACCTGACTGACCGCTGACGTTGATTCCCCTGATTCACTCAGCCGAGCGTGACGATACGTAATGATCGCCTGGACAAAGGACAGCTCAGCCGTGGCCCCCAAAATGGGGAGCTGAGCCGATGATTCGTAATGCTTTCATGAATAACGTTTGACTCGATCTGGTCCACGACGTGTCAAGTTTTTGCCAGAGAATCTCCCCGGACACAATACCCTCCATGTCCTTGTCACCCGAGACTCGGAGTGGAGCGCGATGCGTCGTCTCGTTTACAGGCACGGACCGTGGCTTAACCAGGGTGCAACTTACGTTTGGCATGTTTAGACTGTCCACTTCGGACATCGCTGGACCCCTCTGGATGTCACTTGATCAGTCCGGATTTCCGGTCTTCCATGTCTTCCATCGGCCGCTTCGGACTACCTCAGCATACCGGCGGATAACCGGCGGATAAGCCGGGGGAAACACGTCAAATGTTTCAATAGTGTCTACGAAAATTGCAGAAGTTCTGAGCACGGGCCATGACTCAAACAAGGATCAAGTCACATCTTTCTTGGTAATAGCCGCGGACTGGCTTTGAGTACCGGCCGATGAAAAGTTTGAAACATGCAAGTGCTTAATCACTCAGAGAGTATAAATCATACATACAATAAAACTAGAACTAGTACTAGTTCCTTGTATCTAGCTTATAGGTACCTTGTAACTATACACATGCTTTCTTACTGGCTATGTCCTTGATGCTACCTCGTTTAGAGCCCTGACAGGAAAGAAGAGGCGTTGAACGTGCAACATTGGCTAAAGCTGACGTTTCATGATGACGTATCATGATGACGCAACTATGCAAGCAATGATTTTCATATAAACAATTGTAGTTCTCAAAGGGATCTTCTTCAAACGAGCACGTCTTGAATTAGATACGAAAAAAACATGCATTTCTCTGCTACCGCGAAAAGCTTCGGCTTGCTCACACTGGCTCTCACTCTTCCTGTTGCTGCCCAGAGCACCTTTGATCTGTTTGCTTATGGCACCGATGGAGGAATCAGTGCCGCCTCGCTGTTCTATGAGAATGGTTTGTAAAGTGCGAGAACAGGACCTACTGATGGAAGCTAAATATCAATAGGCCATATCATGGTGTCCAACCTCACAACCCCCGTTAACCTGACCTCTGTTTACTGTAAGCTTACTCAACCTGCTTTCCCCCCAAGGCTCCCAGCGCAGGGAGATGCTACTACTTGGCAAACGATAGACTGCTGACTCTGGCCGTCTGATAGTCACCAGACAAAGCAACGGCCCGTCAGCGTGGACTGTCCAACCCAACAAGACTGCCAACTCGAATGCTTCTTTCACCCCTGGCTACGTCGGTCTCAAAGCTTCTACCAACTGCAGCCTGGTCAAAGTTAGCAACGCGACCGACGACGCTCTCGACTTGGTGCTCTTTGGTCAAAGCGTTTTTGCCCGCATCGGCGACAAGATGCGGAACCCGTTTTACGGCATCCCCACAAGCACGACTGGCATCTGGCAGCTCGTATGGAGCCCAGAAAACACGCACGCGGACCAGCTGGAGCCTGTCATTTTACGACTCATGAGGCCGCCGCGGCCCGATGGCAGGAACTAATCGGGGGGAGGGGGGTCACTCTATGCGATCGCTTGATAGGCTGCCAAAGCTCCCACATCCCGAAGCAGGGGTAGATTTTATAGTAACCATGTTCAAAATCTAGATTAGTGGAATAGAGAGAGACATGGGTTAGTTACCCCGTACGCTTGGGTCCCCTTTTTTTGCCAGATGCGATCGTCAAACATGAGTCAGGCGCAAATATTCAACTGCGTATTGTACGTATCCCCGGCGCAAGTGGGCCGCGATGGAGCGCATACGCGTCCCGGCCGGGAGCAGAATGTCAAATATCAGCTTCAGCACGGGGATCTGCACGGGCATCGTCTTACGCTTGAACATGGTCAGCCGTTGAATGCAGGCCAAGACTATTGCAGGAAAGAACCTACAGAGTTGCAACGGCTGTGTAAGCCACAATCACCATGCCACATCACCATGCCACATCATCATGCGACGGGGAGTCCTCGTGAGCATTGTTAGACCTAAAAGACCATTGCCCGGAATAGACTTTCGATAGACTGGTCATGGTCCTTGGAAAATGGGCAACTATTTGTTCCATGTGTAGCTCAGACGTCCCGTATAAGTGGCGTTGTAACTTTGCTACTCCGTACCGATGTACTAATACGACTAAATCGGCGCCTAGTACAACAATCAGCGCCATCGACACTTGTCATACAGCCATATCTGCTATCCTAGTGCATAAAATATCGTACGATTGCGACTGACTGATTCAATCAGTACCTGAACAAGTTACATCAAAACAAGAAAAGCCACCAGAGGCCATAGCGCCAAGGCCCCAAAGAGTCATGCATGCAGTCTTGACCAGCTAACCATATACAGTCATGTGGTAGGTACAACGGTCGTCCTTGTTCCTGGTCTCGGCCGGGAACCCAAAGTAGCGTCCGTGCCTGGTTCCTACGAATCGCAGCCAATCTCCACTATGGTGAAGCCGTATAGAGGAGCCTGCTGTCCACTGCCAGTGACGAATGCCGCGGTTATCTGGGATGCGCATTATCCAAAGGGAATTACCTGCGCCCAAGCTGCACATCCAATACACAAACATGCAGCGATAGCCAAGAAGCGACATATGCCGAGATATGCACACAGCAACGCCGGAACGGAGCTCAGCTACGACTGCTCAGCATCGCTCCGTCTCTGTACCCCTCCTACCCTATGGGCTACGCTGACACTATCGTCGCCCAGCAAATGTAATTATTCCAATACCATTGTAATTATATCCGCGGAATAAAGTGCTCCAATCCACGGAGTTACACATATTATGCGATTTATTGTAGGAGAGCTTTCTATTTTAATAGCCTTTATGGCTGCTGTTGGCTCCAGCCTTTTTTGCCGCGCACTACCGGGCATTTGTGGAATTGACATCCGTACTCGCCGAGGGTCGTGTAGAAACTGCAGGCCATCATTGCATTATTCAGCGCACTTTGGGAGAATTTTTATATTCCTATTCATTCCAACTTCACCTGAGTCTATACGAGAATCTGCTGCGCCCGTCGCATACATGTTCCCTCCAAACCTCGCGCCTCATGTATCACAGCATTGGCCTCTACGACGGTGACAGAGGAAAATCCGCGATAGGCTAGACTCAGTTTTCTAGCTTACGCGGCTCAATTCAATAGCTATAGCATGCGTGTGACGCGATGGGCCGACTCCGCGGCGACATGTCAGTGCAATATCTTGATCTTACTCGGCGATTCAAGTTGGTACGTGCGGCATCATCCTACAAGAGTCCGGTCCAAATTCGCTTACGTCTCCACAGCAAATAAAAGTCTCTCTAGTGGTCTCCTGACGATATTTGGCATGTCTGGTGACGTGGAATAAGAAGTAATGTTCCAGGAACTCTGCGATATGCTAACCAGCAGAACGCGTACAGAAGCTTGACGCATCCGGTTCCCTGACGACTGGAAAAAATAGCACGCCTCCAACTCGAGACTAGGTCGCATTCATCTCAATCTCTATTACAAAACATTCATTTTCCCCAAAACGTTCCATCGCCGGTATAGCCTGAGGGCAGCCTGACTCGGCAACGTGAGTTCTTCAGCAGGCCTCTGAAAACACACAACCAGCTCTCCTCGGATTTGGGGAACATTCGAGAGTTATTTGACGGCTGACCATGTCTATCTAAAGACAGAACTATCAAATATGAGCCCTTTCTCCTGCAATTCTCAAGTAATGGTGAACGAGAGATACAGACGTTGTGCCCAATGGCCAACATTCCAAGCTCGGCCATGGCTATGTTTGATACTGCCGGTCAACCCGTTTTCTGAGTTATGCTTGGACTATAGAACAAAGTAAAACTCTTCATCAAGTCGTTTCTGAGGCTTTGCAAGAATTTCGCCGAATTCTTTACTCGGGTTTTCGGTGTACGCGATCAATACCAATCAAAGCAGAATAATCCAAGTATTAATATGCCTCCCTGGATCCGAAAATCAGATGCGCGAGGAGAATATGATGAAGCAAAGGGGTCTCTGCAACATATCTGTGTCTCGTGGCTCATGACAATGTTTCTCTTCGGCAACTGGGCATCCGCTTCGTACTCGTTTTGCGGAGCGATGTCCTTGACTTGGGACAAAGCTTCATTTCATTGGGCATATGCGCAAACGCCCGCCGCTGACTGAATTTTCTGGACCGGGCTGCTTGTGCAAACGACCCGTGACTTGGTGACAGAAATGCGAGTTTTGGAGCCTCCCCTCCCAGCAAGCTTTTGACAACACTCGCCATCTTTTCAAGTTTTTCAAGCAAGGGAGCAGAAAGATTACAAATTACCAGATTTTTCATCATCATTGGCAGATATGGGCTTGATTGATCTGCCACCAGAGCTACTCGTCGCCATCGCATTGTTCCTCGGCAGCACGCGCAGCATAAGCAGGTTTGCGCGCAAGAATCGTCCCATGTTCCAAGTACTCGAGCACTAACTATGCAGATATGACTTGAAAAACTCGAAATCTATCCTAAAAGCGGTGCGCAAAACGTCTTATTTTTCGCGCTCTAGACGCGATGCCAACAGCATCATACCAAAGTCTCTCGCGGCCGGCGCTGATGTCAATGGTTCCCTCTATATACTCAAGTTCAAGGACGAATAAATGATAAAAAAGAACAACTTCATCACAGCCATCTCCAGGGCGGCTGAAACAGGCAATGCTGCGCTCGTCCGAATACTGCTGGAGGCTGGCGCCAAAGTCAACTCGACCTGCTGGATGGGCACTTCCGTGCTCGGCTACGCTATGGAGGCCAACAACATTAAAACCGTGCATCTTCTCTTCTCCCAGCTGGGGATTGACCTGGATTACTGGTGTCGGCATCAGGAGCCGGTGCTCTTGACTGCGGTTGCCCGAGACAAGCTCGAACCTTGCCGAGGTGCTGCTGCCCTTGGTCGACCCAAACCAGATCGGCCAAGAGGGCATCACGCCACTTCGGCTAGCTGTGCGAGAGAAAAAAAGCTAGTGTGGTGTCTCTGTTGCTATCGGATTCCAGAACAAACCCGAATGCCATGACCGCATCATCCTCCATGTTCGCACTTGCTTGCAGTCTTCCGAGTGCAAAGATTGCAGAGCTGCTGCATGATGATTGGCGTACCGATGTCGAGTTTAGCAGCCGCATCAATCAGACGCCTGCTATAATGGCCTTTGATCACGCTGAGTTCAGCAATATGGACTTTCTCATTCATTTTAAGAAGCGCAAAATCGCTAGGCATATCCTTTTCTACCTCGCCTGCGGTGGTGGTAATCTTGGGCTTGCTGGAAATATATTGGAACTGGCAACACATGATGATGAAGAGTTCTTGAAAAGGTGGAAAGAAGCAGCGTAGACAGCAGGATGAGAAGAGCTAGCAACCCGAGTCGCCAAGAGATGGGGTGCATCAAGGACCATGCAATCAATGACTTGTATTTAGAGCGAGGCAAGTCCTCTTCACGGCAAAGAAGAAGAAAAGGCAAACACCACACCCTAACTGTTGTTTTTTGTTGGAGGGATCGGACTGTATGTTGAGTGTTGACGACTTAGCTGTGGTCAAGATGCTGAGGGATGTCGTGCGCCTATATCAACGCAGGAAAGCAGTGCGGATTTGGTGATCCTGTCTCGGTCAGCAGGTGAGGATTGCGACATGATCAAGTATCTCTTTGATCAACCCAATACTGACATAAACTTCAAAGGCCCAGCAACGAGGAGATTCTGCTCTGCCAAGTCGCCAATTATTCGCCCACGGAAACGATGAGCTTTCTTCCCAAACACGGGTACCCGAACCAACAATGCCCAGGCATCAAGGCAACGACGACGCTCTTGCGTTGCAGGCCCCTTGGGCTCACAGGTCTCAGCTGAGTTCCGTAAGCTTGCTGCCTGCTGCACATGATCGGTGTCGTAAAGGTAGTTGGCGAGTCAGCTTGCTACTCTGTCTGTTGGGCACGAAATGAGAAAGCTCTCAAAGGACCTCACGAGGCAAATTAAATATTCCGCTTTGTTCGTCCCTTGCAAGATTCTCAATCCTACACCTGTTCCAAGAATCCCAGGATTGCGTATTTGCACAGCTCGCGTTGCACACAGCGCCAAGAGCACGCGTCACATGCACCTGATTATTTAGCCATTTGGCATCCTTCCCTTCAGTTCTCAATTTTTATCAACTTGCAATACAAGAAGGCCGCACTAAATATGGCCGAAAACAGACTGCAGTGCCTTTCACGGCAGTTGCTGCAGATGGTTGCCAGCCATCTTGACGACACCGCCTCTATCAGCAGACTTTGCCGCTCAGGCCGTCATCTGTACAACGACTTGGAGGAATATCTTTACCGTTACGATGCCGTGTTGGTTTCTAGCGAGAAACGCTGCAAAGCACTACGGGCTACTGTAGCTAAGTCTACTCTCGATACTGCCACCAGGGTTAGCATTGCCCGAAAGTCCCTTGAGGCAGGCGCCGACGTCAACTTTTGCGTGAAAGTCTATTACAGATTTTCTCGGCCACTGAACCCGCAGCATTATCAGCTCGAATATAATGATCGCGGGAGCATTCTCAGCGCCGCCGTTGCTCGCGGATGCCTCCCGCTAGTCAAAGTGCTGGTAAACTTCAAAGCCGACATTAATAGACGCACAAAAAAATATGGAACCGCTCCTATTGCAATTGCAGTTATCAAGCCAGAGTCTGGCATCGTGCGCTTTCTGCTCCGCCAGCCTACACTCGACTTGAGTGCCTCGAGGACGGGGTATTTTGGACAGGGCAGCGCTCTTCACCTTGCTGTTTCACTTAACAAGCTCGACTATGTCAAAATGCTTGTGCCCGACGTCGATTCTCAGGTAGATAATGGACCGTGGGATCCACTACTGTGGTCAGCTGTTGTACAAGACAATAGCGCCATGGTGTCATTCTTGCTCTCTTGCGAAAAACTTGACGTCAATGCTCTTCGAAGAGATTGGAATTATAGGCTTTGGTCATTCGGGAAACCGGAACATACAGTCTTTGCGTACACTTGCGCGCGTGGATCACTAGAAATGGTGAAGCTGTTGCACGATAACAGTAGAGTAGATGTCGACCTTTGCGGCAAGCTTAACCCCAACGAGCCTGACGAGCTCAACGGGATCGAAGATCCCGCCTGGAAATACACGTTCAACGATAAATACAAGCTCGACGAGCTCAGCGAGCTCAACGAGCTCAACGAGCGCAACGAGCTCGAGTACCCGCCTGCCAGATTCGCCATGATGTACGACGGTCATGGAGAGATTGTTGATTTCCTGATCAATTCGAGCAAATGCAAAACGGCAAGAGACTACATTTTCCGCGCGGCTTGCGCACGAGGAAGAATTGAGCTGGCGCACAAGGTGGTGAGATTGGCCGAGGACCGCGACAAGAAGCACGCAAAAAGATGGATTGAGCAGGCCGAGCTGCACAACCTACATTGCGTAGCAAGGTCCATTCGCGAGAAATGGGGAGACGCCTAAATTTATATTTGTCGGCAACGGCCACCAAGAACAAGAATCGACGGCTCGGCTGCAATGCCATCGAATGATGATACTACGGCTAAACTGGGAGAGCGATGTAAATTGAGAACGACAAAACGAGCGAGTCAACATGATTCATTTGTCAGAAAGTTTTAGCGAATCTCTTGCCACTGCAACCTGAATCTAAAATAGTTTGAGCAATAATCAACATGTGTAAAAAGTCCCCTCGGCCCCATATCCCTATGTCCCCCGCAGACGGCACGGCCCGTGATGATCGCTGCCAGGTCCATATCGACCAAGTGCAGCACAATAGCTTGTCGTCCCAACGCCAGTGGGCAGACAAAATACTAAGCTAAAATCACCGACTATATGCGGTAGTAGCCAGTAACTCGAGACCATGTTCCGGCACCAGCCACTTTACTCACACCGACTGCGATAATTGGTTCACGTCTGTGCGAGTAGAGTATCACACGTACCACGATGCGCCACTCGGCTGGGTCTCGTTCTAGACCCGCCTCCCCCCCCGAGGCTGCTAATAAATAGTCAAAGTATGCCTTGCTGTGGGCACAAATTGGGCGATTTGCGGGCGTTGGTGTAAATGATCTCGCTCGCCAGCGTAGCGTACCCGGCCGGACGCGAGAACCCCGAGCCGGAGAGATGTCCGCGCGCCTCGGCCCGTCGCGTCTCCGGTTAGCAAACGTATCGATGACGGGACCGTTCCAGACTTTTTTTTTCTCACTGGCCCATCAGCAAGCGGATACCTGCAGACAATGTCCCGGGATCCTGTAACAAAGTTGTCGTGCTACTGCAGGAGCGTTGGCGGGCATTTTCGGTCCCTGACAAAATCCGATTGGCCAGAAGTGTAAAGGGCGGTCAGGGCAATGTCGCGAGGACGGAGAGTTGTCCGCTCCATTGGGACAAGAAGAAAAGGGGGCAATGGGTGCGGACTTTCTTTGACGAGGCTGTTTCGTTCACGCATCATCAGTCGCTGTCCAAAGCTTGGTTTTCGTCGCGCTACTCAACCCTACCACGCCGCGTAGGTTGGGTGTGCTACCGTATGCCGCCGGGGAAGTTGTTCCGGGGGAAATGATGTCGAGATCAAGCGGTTAGGTGTCAAAAGGCGCGGGCCCAAGCTCAATGGTACTTGACCCATGATAGACTATATACACTATATTTTTGTAGGTTGGGAAATGACAGGAAATTTTCGCGCAGGCCATGGTGGATGACTCTGACGCAAACAGAGTCGCAAAAGCATGAACATGAGTTGTCTGTTAATTATCTCAACTTGTGAACGGGATAGCAGTGATGCTGCTCCCGGAAGAGGGGACTGGATTGGCAACTTGACCTCAATTACATACGTCCATATAGGGCTCTACATAGTTTCAAGTCCGTAGATTGGGCTTAAATGTCTACCCTGAGGGCCTTTGTTCTTACTTTACTTGTTAGAACAGCTTTCTCTCTCTTATGTCTTTATATTCGCATAGTGGTTCTCAACTCAGCTCGCATATAAATACACTACACGATAGAGGACATTCAGGTAAGTTCGAGGCGATCAAGCTATTATCTTGAGCAATGTTTGTGCGAATGCCCCATCATTCCGCACGTTGGTGGAAAGTAGGCATATTCACCGCTCACGTTTCACAGAATTAAAGCACTCGCATTCTTGCACCGTCCTTTGTGCAACCGTGACGGCTTACCCAACACGGCTGGTGCTACCCTACCCTCTGGTTGGTACCAACGTCTCGGTTGACCATATGGCTGCAGTCTGCCGTGAATTCTCTCCTTTCTTTTTGTTTTCCTTTTCCTCCTCTCGTCAATCCTTGTGTTCTATACATGCCAATCTGATGCATTTTTACGCGAATTCACACAGAACACGCACGAAAACAACGTGGCTTTGGCAAAGATGCACATGAGCAGCCAACAAAGTCAGCTTGCCAAGACAAAGACCACCATCTCCAAGGATGATGCCGTCGCCAACAAGGAAGCACCTTGTTCCTGGTCAAGATGCCCGGATCACATCCTGCAGGTTGTTGCCGGATTTCTGAACAACCGATCTGACATCAACAGGCTTGTACGCACCAACCGCCAGTGTCACAGGGCTGTCAACAAGTTTCTGTACAAGTTTGACTTGAGAGACGACGGTAAACTTTCGTACGCGTTGCTGTGGGCATGTTGTCTTTCAAAAGTTGAAACGGCAAGAATGGCACTGGAAGCTGGTGCAGATCCCAACACAGAATATTCTGCGAGTTTGTGGGAGGTTCTTGACAAATACTCACCAGACTTTGATCCGTCTCGTGGGATCTCGGCTAGAAACGCACTATACGTTGTGGCGTCCTTCGGAGACGTTGCCATGGCGAGGTTTTTAATTGAATTCGCCCAGGCAGACTTTAGTAAGCCTGTTCGATATCCAACACAGCCGTCCGGAGCATGTCTTTGCCAATCCGTGCGATACGAAGATCCTCCCTTGTTCTCTGCCATCTCGGCGGATTGCGCCGAGCTGCTTCATGTCTTTCTGCAGCAATATGGCTACAACATCAGAGATCTCTCCAACAGCACCGTTCTCGCTCGCGCCGTTCGGGAAAAGCGGCCAGCAGCCATCAGGACGATACTCAGTAATGAAAGCTTCTCGGACCCTCTCGGTGCAGGCGACATAAACGGCCTTATCCAGGCCGTCTACCAGGGCGATGCTGGCCTAGTACGCCTGATACTAGCCAAGAGCCGCTCCGACCCCAACGTGATCCGCAACCGCGGCGACGACAATCGGTGCCACGGCGGCATTTACGGGCAGACACCACTTGTCGTGGCCGTATGCCATGGCCATGAGAGCGTCGTCCGGGCTCTGTGCGCCGACTCGCGCGTCGACATCAACCTCGCCGGCCCCAACCACCGAGCGCCCATCTTTTACGCCCTGACGCAGTTTCGCTGGGACATTGTCGACGTCTTGGTTGCGCACGGGGCGACGTACGACGCAGAGCTCGCGTTTGAGCAGGCGTGCATCAACCGCCAGCTGGCCTGGATGCTTCGCTTGATACAGACGACGACATTTGACGAGACGCGGCTGGATTACTGGTACAAGACGAGCTATGCACTGCTCAATGAGTGCAATTACTGGCAGATGGTTCAGTCGGAGCTGAATCAGCAGAAACGGGCATTTCTGAGGAGCTGGCGACAAGACAATGCTCTGTTGTGGGAAGAGCATGCAATAAAAAGCATTAAAACGGAAGAAAATGGCGGTAGCTGAAGTGTCTGGCTGATGTTGCGAGACCCCATGATCAAAAATGATGAATTACCTTGACGATCATGACAAGGCTTGTCTTCTGATACAAAGCACCCGTGTTTCCAGACATACCATAAGAGATGAACAAAAGAATCTGATGTATTTGTAGAGCAAATATAGAGCGAGGGTATCTAGCATCTTGGCATGGCCAAGTGCGTGGTGAAAACTCCAGTATCCGTAATGAGAAGCCAAGCCATGTACGCAATCTATTGCGTCTGTCCGTAAAGAAACCAAAAATACTCCATCAATGCTGCGCGTAGTGCTATTCAATGCAGTGCAGGCGCCGCAGACTCAAAGCGAGTGCGAAACAAAATCGGTGGCGGGCGGGGCCAAGGTTGCAGTAGCCACAACTTGGCCTTTAGTAATATATTCTTCTTGTGCCTCCAAGTCCATTGGTGTTACTGGGCCAGGACTGCCCATAGGTTGGAGTTGCGGGGAAATCGGTCGCTGTGGCGTCGATGGACGGCCGAAACGTGCGTCTGGTCCGAAAGGCATACTTCTTAAGGCCGACGCATTTCCGGGGAGCATACTCGGCTTAGAAGAGCCACCCAACGCCATAGAGGCCTGTGCAACCATGTCACGCTGGTATTGTTGCAGGCGCTGCCGTGCATCATCGCCACCCTTGTATGTGGTACCTTGGACGTCCGTCTTGGCATATGATGTGACCGACTCCGATACAAAGGTCCGTTGACCTTGTAACTGACGCGTTCGTCTTTCGTAGTTGGATGGGTAATATTTGCCAACAGGCAGCGCGTGTTCATGCATTCCTGAGGGCATGTAGGATGACACCGGCGTGTGTGTGCTCTGCCAGGCCGAGGCCGTTGAAGCCGACGGTTGCTCCCTTGGCACCTGCATGTCGATATTTATTTCTGATTTATTTTGACGATTTTCGCGTTCAGAGCGAAAAGGATGTGGACGATGAATGCGACACTTGGGGTCCTCATGCATAGGAAAATAGCCACTGTCATGCTGTTAGCCTTAATGTGAGGTGGTGTAAGTGGACCGAAAATCATACCCAGGTAGGTCGCCGCGAGCAGAGAGAGTTTCTGTAGGCGTATAGACTGAAGCCCCGGGTTTTTTGGACTTTGGCAATTCAATGGCAATAGGGCGAGAGCGTGGTGATGTGCAAGCCGCTGGTTCAGAGCCGTCTGTACGAGGGAAGATTAGCGGGTTATGTAGACGAAAAACGGAACAGCCGGGGTGGAGAAGAGCAACAACACGGTGACGGCAGCAATGGAAATGACGTGGGCGGAGGCACGATCGAGCCGCATCAGTTGTGTTTCGAGGTGATCGCTAATAGGTACGCGGCCTAGCCTGGAAATGGCTGTGGGGAGCGCAATACTTTGGCGGAGCCAGCAACGTCTTGGTTCTTTGCTACATCGTGTCACTGTACTAGTGGCAACTCGCTGTGCAACCGACCGTTGAAATTCAACGGATGAAATGAACTCTCGAGGTTTGTACACTAGGTGGACTTGTCGTCGTGGGCGGAAATAGTGCTTCGGCGATTGCCGTGGATAATGATGCGTTTGTAAACTTACGCTTCGCAAAGAATGGATTCTCCGTTGGTGCTAGCACAGGCGTGCCTGGGGCTGATGGTACAGCATCGCCACCAACGTCTTCATCGCGGCCGCTGGTGTTCGATGTGAGAGAGAGCTCTGACGAATTAGAGAGGGTGCGTCCGAAAGTTGGTCTCCGATAGGGCATGAGAAAGCCCTGCGCCTTGTTGAGGGATCGTGCAAACGACATGGTGTCTTGGGCGGCAAATACGACGGGGAGCGCCAGACACCTTTGGAGAGAGCCTGGTGGCAAGTGCGTGACCACAGCGATTTAGCGTGGAAGCAGCGCAGGCATTCTTTGATGGTCGACGTCGATGATGGAACCGGCGAGTTGAGATGAGTGATGATTGTGTGCGAGTGAGAATCGAGACGTAAAGACCAGTTGTAAAAGGAGCACAATAGTGAGAGGCACGGGGAGATTAATAAATCAGAAAGCCCTGGCTGTGCTGGCTGGCTGGTCGGTCGCTGTTTGGTTGCTTGGCTTGCCTGCGAGGCAGGGTGTGCGGCTCAAATCTGCAGGGTCGAGGGATGGCGGTGCCCACTTTGGTGAGTACCCAAAGACGTCACTGCCTCGTAACGGCGGCAGGTGGGTGCAGCACGCGATGGAATGAACAAGATAAAGGGTCCCGTCGATGAAGAGATTGGTAGGGTGATAGTTAGCGGCGGCAGACTAGATTGAGAATTTACAAATCGATGCAGGAGAGATGGGGAATCTCAAATCGAGAAGACTGGAGTTTTCGAGATGCAAACAAGGGACATGCAGCTGGCAGCTGGCAGCGGGTAGCGGGTAGCGGCCAAGTAAACGAGGGAGTCGGACCAGATCGACAAAGCTGGTGCCGACGGCTGGTGCGGCTGGCTGATGAGACCATGTTATGAGTGGCTGATGCGCAAGCCCAGAGAATATTCCCGTTTGGTGACGCAGCACCGTTATTTACAGGGCATTCGCTCGCTATAACGGTTCGCTGCAGACGGCTCTAGTTTCTTTATTACGGTGGGTTTATCCACTGTAGTGGCCCCCCCTTGTAAAGCCACCACAGCCCTCTCTGGGGCTAGTACTGTTCGCCGACAAGCCTCACCGCGAATGGCCTCGTTTTTCAAATTCCTCTTCCCACCACGCCAGCCCTTGTTAACGCCTCGATGCTTACTGATAGCTGGTAGCTAGCCCCATCCCACCCGAGACTTGCATCCACACTAATCAGTAGGCGCCCATCAGTTGAACCTCGCGGCCGTCGGAGCCGTCTTCACACACACGCAGCATCCCGCCCATCTCGCCGTCCCGCTCCCGCCACGCCTCATCAGCAATACTACCTGTGATGGCGTGCATGGTGTCTTGTGCATCGACCACAGCCTGAATCCAGTGTGCGTCGCGGGGATTAAGCGGGGACGAGATAACCTTACGAAACGATGTGCAACCACGTTTGCTCATTCGTACTCTCCACCTGTCATGGGGATGGTGCTCTACTGACTGCTGGTGCTGCTACCACACAAACCACCGTGGGGTGGCACTCGGTG